CATAATGATAATCCTCACTTTCTCCACCGAATACTGTACTGTACCTCCCTCTGCGATTGCAATCCAGGATGTCCCAAGAAGGAATGTACGAAAAAAAATTCTATAGAAAAAAAAGCTGATAACGACATGATATGTAAAGATGCTCACTTGAGCAATATTTCCAAGTATCTCCTGCGGCTTCTTTTTTTAATTTGGCAAAACAAATGTATAAGATCTTCCAAAAGAATTACATAACCATGGAAAACATTACGTATATGCTCACTAACGCAATAAAGAAATGAGAAAAAATATTGAAATTCCCGAGATATATTCTAGATTGTTTCAACGCCGGATCGAAAAAAGCGGGATTGCTCCCAGGAATGTATGGGGGAAATCGTGGGAAACTGGTCGCTTGAGATTTAAATCAGGCATGTGGGATTATGTGGCTGTTCGCCTATGCTTTAGACTCGTTCCGATAGAAATGGGTTAATTCAAGTGTGACATGGGGAGTTTGACATGAGAATGTCCGGTCGCCTGCAATTATCTCGGAGATAAATAATTAATCATCCTGAGATTAATTAATATTCATCTTGAGAAGGGTTGAAATGTGGTGCTCCCTACCTGTGGTGCTCATGTGAGAGAATATTTAAACAATGTTTGAAATAAGCTCCCGACAATTCTTGATTGGCATCTTCTTTTTCCTCTCCGTGCTCCCTGTGGAGCACGACAGGTTAATGAATTTCCAGGTGCACATCTGCGTAGTGATATCTGGGCTGAATTCCCAAATTAATTTAGTTAATTTAAAGCTTTTTCAGATATCGAACGTACTTTCATCATTTAGTGTTCAGATTCCGTTTCCACCATTTCATAACATTTTTCTTCGTTTCATTTTCTTTGTTCGCGTCGTTTCGCGTTTTTGTTAAGAATATCTCTCCTGATGATATAACACCTTGCATTCGGAGACATTTGAAGGACAGGTCATGTGAACTCCGAACCTCCCCAAACTTTAGGGCTGGTTACGCCACTGCACAGTGGGCCAGCGATGCGCAAAAATCATTTTCGTCCGTGAAATGAAAGTCAGAGATAACGGCCGTCATTGATGGAAAACGATTGAAGAGGTAATTACTTATTTCGGTGATATTTACTTTCGCCACAAGATGGCGCTCTAGTTGAGAAAATGTCTGTGTACTTTTTGATGGTCGATGCCACGTTTTAGTGAAGTCACAGGACAAGATGACTGAAGCTGCTGCTAAGTTGAAATTGGAAATATGAAATCACGAAAAGTGGATGCTATCATGATGATCAACTTACTAACTTGCCACAGTTATCATACTATTATGATCCTTCCATTACTTGCAAGAAAAATAAGTTAGTCCTTAGCTTGAGTAAAACCTCTCATTTTTCTGCCTGAAAAATTACTTAAAGTTTAAATTGCAGTCATTCCGCAGAATTCTGTTTTCAAACTAGGATAGTGCGTAGGGCTTACTTACCGTCACTAGCGAGCAAGTCGAGTTTCTTGTAGATTGTTGCAGATTCTTCTGATATAAACGAAATTAATATGCCTACTTATCTGAGATTTTTACATTCTCGCCCCCTCCCAAGGATCACCGCTACGGCGAGGCCTGACAGCTTCTTTGGATCTTTAAAAATTTGTTTGGAACAGCCTGAAAATCGTTTGAATCTAGCTAAACATGTTCTGAAAGCAATATTCAAAAATTTCCTTTCACTATAAGATAATATCGCTGATGTTTGATTTTTGCGTACGTTTTCGCCATTCTGGCCTCTGTGCACCGGCACGAAGGGATTGTTATTGTCCAATGTATCTACAAACGGATAAATACAGTGGTTAAGACGGTCCAGTAAATCCAGCTTCCAGAAAGGGTTGGACAATGACGCAGAGCAGACCCACTACTTCTGTTACACTATTCACTAACACTATTCCAGCGCATTTTGTCAGCACCTACACCACCCTCAGCTTTCCAACGATCCCATTCACCAGATCATAACCTCTACGCTGCACACGTGCCCACTTCTCGAAGGCTTGTGCGTTCTGAAATGGGAATGCACGTGAACCCTTTCTCATCCTCTCCCAGGCCTGAAACTCCCGACTTCCCATTATAAAATAATGTCAGCAATCACTATTCAGAATGGGTATCCCAAACTCGAGATCTCTTCTGTCTCGTTGAGGAAATGCAACAGTTCACCCCACTGCCACTAGGGTCTACAGTACAACACTCTTACGAGATGCGACTTCTGCAAGACTCGTGATAGAGATTCTGTCCTCGTCCCTTGCGGCCACACGATGTGCTATGTATGCTTCAGTCATAATTGCGCAAGACGGTAAATGTCCACAGTGTAGACAAGCAATTGGTGATTTTTTCATAATTTTTTCTTAAGAAATCAGACCGTTCTCTCTCACTCTCTCTTGATCAATCAATTAATTGAACTTGTTTCCATGCTTCCATAACAACATTGTGCCTCCCAAAAATTCTCGATTTTGAATTTTGTGCAATCGACTGTGCATTTGCCAAATCATTTCCCACATTCTGCCTATGATAAAATGAAGCATCGCTAGTCACCTAGCCCACAATATGCGCGACATCGACGTGACACTATCGCCACCACCAGCTTCATCTATGCTGGTTTGTCGGTGTTATTCTATGTCGGAGTAGTTCCTGTCTTGAATATTTCTTTTCGATGCAAATCCGGGTATGCTCCTGTCGAAGTAATTCTGTGTCGGCGTACTTCTATCGGTTTTATTCCGAGTAGCAATTTTGTCGAGATAATTCCGTTCGATGCTGCTCCGTGTCGATGTACTTACCGTCTAGCTTATTCCGTGTCGATGCATTTCCAGTTCGATGTTGTTCTGTGTCGCTGTTATTCCGTTTCGGTACTATTCTTTTCGACTTTATTTTTACCCACCGTCACAATGACTCCATTTCATACAAATGTGTAACTAAACCTTTTCTCTTCATCCAAAGGTTAAGAAAAGAATTGAAACAAGGTTATTGCGGAGAGGGAGTACCATGATTCACCACCAGCTCTGGTGGGTAGTAAGATTCTCTGAGTTCGCTAGTTTTCCTTTCAAGTTTCACAACTTAAATTTTGGTGGGATGGTTCTAGTCAATACTGTCTTGCCGAGATGTCATCCCGCCCCTTTCGAACACTCCTGAACCATTGTCTATAAACCATTCAGGAAACACCAGTCAAGATTCAACGTTATCGTTTCCTCGGTATTTCCGTCCCTAGGAAAAGGTAATAACTTGAACGTTTCCTAGCATTTTTGTCCCAACTGGTTTCAAAGGATTCCTGGGGATGTGCTTGCAGGGCATGAATGGGTCCTCCCATGTTTCGACTTGGATCAGCTCCTGGATATTTTTAACCTGATGGTGAAGACAGTCTCCTCCAGGTAGATAGAATATAAGGTAGTCCCAACTCACTGCACAGTGGCGGGCGGGTTTGTTGCTTCTCTGCACAATACGTTACCGTGGAAGTCAATGGGGAAAAAGCTGGCGGATTCCTTTTCCTCTGAGTCGACAGTATGATCGCAACAATACAATGATAAATTCAGACCCAATGCAGGATAATCGTGGGAAGGCGAAAAAGCTGAGGAGCTGGGTGACTTTTCATGGAGATGAAAGAGGGATCCATATGTGTTTGGCCCCATTTACCAGGGCGTTTTAAACAATAATTGCATTTGTTTCAAAAGAGAAAATGATGGCTCTTCCCAGCGCAAAAGATTCCTGGTCAATAAGGAAGAAGGATGATGACTCAATGACCCGGAATTCCATAAATGAAGACAGCTCCCCCTCTTGTTAAAAGAAATGCACATTTAAAACTTACCTGTTTTAAAAATAATCCTGTAATCATAGCTCAAGAATGAGCAAGTTACTAAAAATCACTGTCAGCACAGTTTTTAGATGAACATCTGAAGTTTAACAGCTAAGAACTGGTTGCACATCTTGCATAAAACCTAATAAATATTAAGTCAGGTGCATCTCACACAGAGGTCATGTTCATTTAACACGTTTGTTACAGTGGATTGCGATGCACACCTAGTCTGCAGATGGTCAAATGATGACTGCTACCTGAAACTTAAATTTAAGTTAATTCATTTCCTCAGTCTTGAAGGCGTTACTAGTGCAAGCAACAATGTTCACCTCTTGCTTTTGAAATATGAGAACCAGCACTAAATTTCATGTCTCCCTTCAGCAGTAATGTTTGTTAATTTGAAATGGCTCAAAAAACTTGTATACATCCAATCATGTTGAGAAAGGGTCAAAAGGCTTTTGTTCTTAAGCCTTTCTTCAGGGAAGGAATAACACCACAGGACTTGTCAGTAATTACCAGTTTACAGAAATTTACAGATCCTCAACAAGTTAAGTTCAACAGATGTCTGCAACCATAACCTGCAATACTTCTGAACCATAAATCACACGTTCACATTCAAGGTGACTGCTTTCAGATCTACTTATTGTGTAGACCTGGAGAAACTCCTATGTAAACTAAGAAAAAAGTTAGGGATATTGGTGTAGCTCAAAAATGGGAAGGAGGTTCTGAAAATCTGTATCCTGAAAAGTATATAAAAAACAGGGAGCTGTATTTGAGGCCCCAGTGTCACCAGCAATAATAAAGATACACATGTTCATTCTCAAACAATGTTTGTTTTTTAGTTTACTCAGATCATAGAGATTTTATGATATCCCTAACTTTTTTCTTAGAGTTTATCTGCTTATCTAACAAATCATGGCAGATCTTTTTGTTCACACCCCAGGCATTCAGGGCATTGGGGTGGACCAGAAACAAAACATGGATCTAGTTTGGGTACATGAATAAGATAATCTGTGAATATTCCTTGGATTTTAGATTTAGAACTTTGATTAGGCAACTCTCATGGGACATGTGTGAGTTTGATGAATTCTTAGTTTTCATAAATGCAGGAAGTACAGCATTAGCAACCATTGTGCTAATATTTATAACTACATTTTTGCCAATTGGAAGTACCTGTATTTGAAACAAGCCTTGACAAGAACTACAGAGAACTTGGCAATAATATCAAGGACTCTTTCATAGGTATAAGCATCCAGGGCACATGGACATGAATTTCACATCTTAGAGCGTTTTTGTCTCTGTTGAGGAGTCTTGGGCGGAGCAGGTTCCTCAGCAATGGGATCCATGTTCATGGATTGCAATGTATCACGTCTGCAATTAGCAATCAATCAACCATGATATCATCACATTCAAAAGGCACCTATCTCCCTAACTGCTCTGAACAAATGCTTTTCATACCAGGCATGCAATGATCTCAATATGGTAAGGAAATTGGCTGTGAATTTCTGCCCTACCTGTTAGATTGCTACCTAGTGGTGAGTGAAGAAATCACAAATACTGACCAGCTTCCACTTGTTACTTTCCAACTGCCAAATTATTTCACAGAGGTGCAATATGCTGGCATTTGCCCAACCTCTAATTACCAGCATGTGGCAATAAGGGATCCACTGAAAAAGCAGAAACTAATCAATACCTTCTGGCACCTTGACGTCGAGGAGTTTCCAGTGAAGCATGTCCATCAGCCTCCTCTTCCTTGAGTTGCTTAGACGGAGTCTTGTCGCGCAGGAAATAACGCTTATGTCCCACTGATGAAGATGAGCTCTTGGGACTGCTGTCAGTGGATGTAACCTGAGACAGTGAAGATGAAGATGCTCCAGTCTTCTGATGCCCTGAGGCTGAGGACATTCCCAGGTCCAAAGATTCTGATCCAGCCCGACGGCGGGATGACCTCATCTCACGCACAAACTCAGGTGGGGAGAATGCAAAGGATGATGCACCAGATGTATTTGATGACAGTGAGACAGTGTCACCTGCCAAAAGGAACAATTGCTTAGTTTTGAATAAGAATTTCCTTCAAGCAAAGAGGAAAAAATCTCCATGATAAGAAGACAGACCCAGGTCAAGTGACTGTGGGGCGTTGAAGTCAAACACCTCACTCCCTTCAGATGCCTTTCTTCCCCTCTTCTTACTAGGCCTAGTTTGGGGTCTTGTACTGGTACCTAAGAGCAGAGAAGATTTCCCCTTGAATATGTAGCCACATGAAGTTGTTGTTTAGTTTTCAGATTTTCTCTTCCTTAGGGTAATTATAGAATATCAGAAGAAAAACAGACCTGCAAGAACAACATCAAAGATGATCTAAATCAGTGGTTCACAACCAGTGGGTCATGATGGTCTTCCAAGTGGGTTGCAAGAGAATGAAATGAATTAAAAGTAAAAGGGAGATATTGAGAAGATAGAGATCAATCATGAGTGCCAAACCAAACTACAGGGCTATATTACTAGAGCTTGACTTTCCAAACAATCTAATTTATTAATCCAGACAAGAAGGCAGCAAAGGGAGAAGGCTTGCTTGCTGGCAAAAAATTCCAAGAAAGGGCAAACAGCTTTAAAATGACTTTTTAATCATTCTTGCTCTTAACCTTCATCCCAGTGAACTCCTCGTCAGTTCTGGCATTCCCTTTGGTTCCTAGGTAACGTGGTTAATGATGATGCTGTTTTTGCAGACAGAAGCTGATGTTTATTTTCTTGATTTTAATTCTCTGCTACATGAACATGCTACATTCCTTCTCTCAATTTTCTTTTTGGGAAGGAGAGGTTCATGAAGTTCATTTCATCCATAATTTCCTGTAGTTACTTATTTATGCCACCATTCATATGCAATGGAGTCAAAACTAGTATCAATCCAGAAGTATTCATACCTTCAATGTGATTTCACAGTATCAGAAAGTATGAAACCAGAATGCTAAGTCTGTGGTGAACTGCTGGCTGATGCATCCATGAAGCCTTCACAATCAAAGCAGCAATTAGATCAAAATCACCCAATATTGGAGGGTAAACCAATGTAGTTCTTTCAGAGGAAGATCAAAGAAGAAACAAAGGAATAATGAAGGAATCACCTGTGAGCAATATATTGAGGGCATCATTTCCATATTTAACAAATTTTAATTAATATCCTTTTTTCTAGTCACACAGCTGCATTATTTCTGGATGTTCTAAATTGGCAGGTCACATAAAGATGGGAATAGGACTTGATGGGTCATGACAGGAAAAAGGTTGAGAACCACTGATCTAAATGTAGGGAACAGGCAGATAGACTACATTATTAATTTTTAAGCTTACTCCCAGCCTGATATTTGATTTCTGATTTTATATTTGATATAGCCTGAAAATTGAAAGTTGCACCAACAACATGCTAAACAACATCTTCCTACAAAATCTGAAATACAAATGGGAAAAGCCATGTTTCCATTTTGGCCAGACATAAAATGGAAATGGCATCCCTCTCCAGGCAATATTGTACAGGGTCTATAAAAGTCACACAACCCTATATAAACAAGCACTTTTCTATATTTAACTGGAATATATACACATCAGCAAAGTATTAGGTATTGCTGGTCTCATGTTTTTCACAGAAGCTGTAAATGCTTAACATTATCAATTAATTGCCATGTTAGAGATTAACAAAAGTGACTCATGGTTTCAAGAAGACAGAGCAACTGCTCATAAGCAAGAATCTTTGGCTGCTGTGGTCTCCAGACTTGACTTCATCCAACTATTTCCTGTGAGGATAACTTAAGGAAGGAGTATACTCTAACAATGCCAGAGACTGGGAAACATGGAAGCAAAACATTTCACAGGCCATTGTCAACAATACTTGTTTGACCTTAGATCATGTTTCTTTGAACTAGCACAAGCATGTTCCAATGTGCTTCCAGGAACATGGTAGTCGCTTCCAACACCAGCTATGACACTTTCATTCATAGGTGAGATGTGTTCCTTTAATATTAAGCTAGTTTTGATCAGGCAATCAATTCAAGTTCTTAAAAATCATGCTGTATATAATGGGTTGCATTACTTTTGAAAGACCCTGTATAATACCACTGGCATGAGCCACATTACTATGTGGGTCTCTTTTCAAAACATAAATGAAAAGTCAAATGTTTTTTAGAGGGTAAAAAAAGGGGAACAAATACTGTCCTGTCCAATACCTTTCCTTATTCACTTAACCATGTCTGGAGGGAGAATTGCAAATGATGTTAAACCTTGTTGAAATTAAATTGGACTCAACAAATTCCACAAAAGGTAAAATGATTATTTTTTCGATTAAAAAAAAAAAGACAGATGATTAGAAGATTCAGCAGACACAAAAGAAGATGGACTTATTACAGTACGTAAAGAGGAAGGGGGTACCTGTTTGGCACATGCACCACATCTGATTGGAAGTCCCTAAAACTGGGACACCCTTCAATGGTCATAAAGGCAGCCATTGGGGTAACTCACAGGTTGCCTAAGCCCATGACTGGTACGAGTGGTTTTTAAAATGTACTGCATCCCTATCTCTTAGACACGGTACACAGAGTGGCATGTGTGTTATCCCATGCTAAGCAGACACTCCCCAAGAAAGCAGGTGGATTGCCTGTTGACGAAGAAAGAGCCTACCATCACCCTGACCTGATCCCTTGCCTCCCAAGTTTCACTCTGATGCCAGAACTACTCAGCCACCAAACCCAGTTGCAAAATGATTTTTCATCCCTGGTTGAATGCCCATGGAAGTGATCCAGTTTAAAATCAACTGTTATAGTGAAGAGTGTGTTAATATAAACAAATTTGACAGATAAGGAGCAATTTTTTCAACCACTTATGATGAAACTTTTCTTCATGTGGAAAATTTCCTACATATTCAATGAAATAGGCATTGGGGATTCCACACTAGTGAGCACATGATACCATGATAAAACAGAAAGAGAATAAGCCAGGAATCACAAGGGAAACTGATGCTAACCAGAAGTCCCTTTCTCCAGCTCAGCCCTTCCCATGTTGTACTCCTTTCCATGATGGGAGAATGAATCTAAACTTCTATTCTCAGGCCTACCATGTAGGTGCATAGGTCTCTGATCCTGTATGCCTCATTCCTGCCCAACAAGCTCTAAGCTCGACTCATATCTACTAGCAAGTTATTCTTCCTCTCCCTCCCTTTCTTTTCTCTTTGTAAGAGCACTATGTCTTGAATGCATTCAGCCAGAGCGAATATGGACAAAAGTAAATAAGTCCCCAGAAGGTGAAGGTAATATCAGTCAAATGATTGCTTGTTAACATAATAACTTTCCTGTCCCTTCATGCTTCATTATACTGAGGAAAAAAAAGAGAAGCATAAGCAAAAATTATGACTCACCAATGGAAGGAAGGGAAGTGACACTGGAAGATGTGGTGAAGGTGCTCTGACTTGGAGAGTCTGAACTGAATGCAGTTGCGAGAGTGCTCCGACTGGGAGATGACAAATCAGATGCATTTACATCACTGATGTCCTCTTCCCCAATGTCAGACCATGGATCCACATCCACTGTCCCCTCCAGTTCCAGCCGGATCCTCTCTAACCGATGCACTGCTGCTACTTCTTCTCGAAGTCTGGCCATCCGACTCTTTCCATTTGCATCAATGTATGAGCGAGCATGGCGAGTTGTTGGACCCAGTTGTGCCAAACCTACTGCAGTTTCCGACTGGGCACGTCTTGGTCGTGGCAGCCTCCTTGTATGCTCTGCTGGCTCTGAACTAGAGGGGGACAATTCTCCTCTTTTGTGTGACTGGCCATGTTTCCATTCCTCTGTTGTCTTTCGTCTGGCTTGCCTCTGCATTTCACTTCTACTCTTCTTTTTAACATCTTCTGGAGCTTTGTTTTCAGGAGACTTGACTTTATTCCTGAGCCTCATCTTCGTCCCTTCTTCAGTAATATTTGTTTGGCTCTCACTATTTGGAGACTTGCTCCTATGTTTCATCACTTCTCCAGTGAGATCCACTTGATTCTCTTGTCTGGGACCCTTGCCTCTAGTTCCAGGCTTCCTGTTCCCCTTTCCTTGACTACCCATGGAAGGATCTTCCTCAGAAGTCTCATTTACCTCAATTACCTTTGTCTTGTCAGCCTGCTTAGATGGAGATGTTTTTCTCTGGGCAGATTTTTGCTTCATTCCTTCAGCTTTAGGCATTTCAGCTTTTTTTCTCAGTTCTCTAGTAGATTGAGTTCCTGATGACATTTCTCTCCCTTTGTGAGGAGACTTTTTCCTGCTTACGTGCATTGTCTCACTGTCACTTTGTGAATCCATTACAGGGGTCTTGCCTTGCTTTTGTAGTCTCCTCTTAGTTTCTCCATGAATGCTCCTGGATGGATCTTCCTCAGAAATCTTTTCTGTTTCAGATCTTTGATTGGTCTGAGGGTGCCTCAAGGGAGGAGACTTTTTAGGTGTTCCTATTATTTCCCTTTCTGGAGTGTTTCTCCTTATCCTGGGAGACTTAGGAGTTTCAGCTTTTTCTCTGTGTTGGGTATTTCGTTTCATCCTAGGAGATCTGAGTATTTCTGCCATTTCTCTCTCCTGGGTGTTTCTCCTTGTTCTTGGAGTCCGAGGCATTTCTGTTTCTAGACCCTGCTCTTCCTTGATCCCAGTTTCTGACATTTTCCTCCCCTTTTGCGGAGTCTTTCCCAATCTTGATGGGGAATGTGTTTGAATTTCTCTTTCTGGAGTCTTGCTCTGACGTTGATGAATTCCCTTGATGTCTTCTTGAATCTCCCTTTCAGGTGTCCTGCTTCTGCTTCGGAGTTTCGTCTTATAATCCTCAGGAGATTTAGATTCTGAGTCATCTGTCTTTCTTACCGGGGTCCTCCTGCTTTGAGGTTTCTTCTTGTCCTCAGGAGTCTTGGCCTCAGCTACATCTCTAGCCTCTGTTACTGGGGTCTTGCTTCTGCTTCGTCGTTTCCTCTTGTCATCCTCAAGAGTCATGGATTTGTTTTCTATTTCAATCTCTCTTCCTAGCATGTTGCTGGTTTTTCTCTGGTCATCTTCTGTCCCTTCAGATTCTATTTCAAAATCATTTCCAAATTAAACATGTGAAATGAAAACCCGATAACATGAATGGAGAATATTTATGAAACTGGGCACTAGTATAGTAAATAGTCTACAAAAGCAGCAAAACTTAGTAATAGAATCTGAACATATAACATCATAGAGAGAAATTTGAGTGGCAAATATTCAGTGACAATTTTAAAATACAATTTCTTACTTTCACCTTGATTTTCTTAGAAAGACTAATAAGTGACCCTGATTTAATCTATTTTGACGCTTAATTGATTAACTCTATAGGTGGATAGTTTCTTGGACAGAAGTTTGCTAACAATGAAATTTTTTTTCATGAGAGTGTTCGTGTACAGAAACTTACTACCCTCTTTCAAGTTTATACTCCTACTTCAAGTTTTGAGTTTATATTTAACTTAATCTCAAAATATAGCATGACATACATATCTGTCAAGTTCACCCAGGGAGCATTTCACCATGAGATATATATGTTATACCCACTTAAGAGGTTAATTGAAGTTCTGCCAGAACGTTTTTGAGGGTTTTAATGGGCAAAGCACTTTGAAATGATGAATATATATGTCAATAGTCTATACCAGCAGTTCTCAAACTATGGGTCATGACCCCAGGGGGGGTTAAAAAAGGGTCCCAGTGGGATTGGAGATGATTAAGAAATCTCTTTTCTTTCACTGACTTTCAAAGATTTCATGAAGCCAGTCAAACCATGTTTTCGAAGATAAATTTTCCGATGAATTTTCTCCTATTACAGACAAAATAAACTCCATTTGAGGCCTGATTATGCAGTAAGCAGGTCATTAGGGGCATAGTCGAAACTCAGGTGAAAGAAGAGCCACTGCTGCTCTAATAATATTAATAGCATCTCTGGTGACAGCTTTGCCCTAAATCATCCCTGGGGGTGGGGGGCTACAGGCAGAGCTGTTATCAGAGGTGGAGTGCGTGGGTGTGAATTATGTGATTGGGGACCCTGGTAGCACTAACCTCTTAGTAAGAAACTCAAGACTATAGCCAGTTCAGATATTAGATGTTGACTGGTCATTAATAAAACTGATTTTGTGGCCTAGGGGTGAAGTTTTGGGGTACCTTTTGCATCAACATACCTAAATGAATCTGGATTTTTTTCTTTGTTGGTCATCAAAAGTAAATATTGCAACTGAATCACTGTTGAAAATGACTTGCTGATGAGAATCAGCAGCACTGTTCCTAGTTTGGATCACATTTGCTCAGCAAAGCAGGCACATCCATCATACTGAATATTTAGTAGCACTGATGAATGATGTTTTTAATGCTTTTTACATTTAAAAATAAATTTAAACAAGAGTTACATTGCATTTTCATTTCACTTTAATGAGCAGCCCAGGATGCTTATCCCATCAAGTTTTTCTATACCATGTACTGGATTTCTCTTCAGCCTGAAAATTTGGGGTTGCAAGCTTTTGGCTTCCGTGAAACAGTCATGGACCCAAAATGTTTAAAACCACTAGTCTATACTTTAACCCTTTCAGACCTGAATTAAGGCCGCTATCGGAATAATATCATTTTTTGAATTTTTGAGCTTTTTCGTGATTGTAATTGAAATTTTCATGCTTTATATGTAGTTTTCATATTTTGTATAAATTTACCATATCATACCATATATTATATATGAAACATTTAATTAAATAACTGAAGATTACAAAACTAATGGATGAAAGAAGGCCTCTGAAAGAACTGAGCCAAGCATAATTGCACCTGTTGTAGCATAATATGGAGCGCAAAGTCACGAGAATCCTAAGAAATTGCCATAGACACAATGTAAATGCAATATCCATTGGAATGGATGCCAGGTCTGAAAGGGTTAAGCTGTTTTCCAGGGTGTATGAAAGATATGCTTGTAGAGGTACAGAAGTATTAGTGAGATTTGGTTATTTTGCATATTGGTAAGTATAAGTGACAAAACATTCGGCATGTGTTTGAAAACAGTTCAAATGTGTTGCATATTGCTTTGTAACCCCTCCTGGAGCACCTGTAGCCAGGGCTGTTCTGAAAGAGGTGACATTTTGGCAACTTAATCTATTTCCATATCAAAGTTCCTTTAAGTCTTATATTTGGGCTGACCCAAAAAAATAATGAGACTTTGATTAACAAGATATCTATGCAATTTTAACTTTAAAGTTTGAAAAACAGGAAAATCAATAATTAACTATTGCTATGGTAAAATAACAAAAAAATTGATTTTTGCATTCAGGTTTAAATTCAAATCTTTTCATGCATCATTATTTGTTAGTGCAATGCATGGAACACATAAAAGAGCATGTAAGATTTTACATGTACACAGAACATAAATGTGGCACCAATCCTACCAACATTTACCAGAATCTATACTCTGCATAGGGACATGATACCCTGGGATTATCAGCCATGGTGGGTGCAACATCTAACAATTTAATTTAATTGTCATCTTCCTATCTAAAATTCTCCTTGGTGTGTTCTATGTGTTGCACTAACTAATGATACATAAAAAGATTTCACTTTAAACCAAAATGCAAAAATAATTCGTTTTTATTATACCATAACAATACTTGATTATTGATATTCCTGTTTTTCAAACTTTTATTAGTTAAAATTGCATAAATATCTTGTTAATATCAAAGTCTCATTATTTATGGGCCAACCCAAATATTTATACAATGGCGAGACCACATCTCTTCTGGACTTTCAATAGATAAGTTCCAAATGGGACTGAGTAAGAATGGGAAAGGGATGTTGCAACTCCTCAAGATTCAGGAACTAGTAATTTCTCACATCTCATAAATTAGTGACTCTTGAAAGTTAAAACTTAACCTAGTTAAGCTAAACAATGAGGTTAAGTAAGAGGGGAGGGTAGAAAATTTCTGAGATTTTTATTTACATGGACTGCAACTCTACATTGGTGACTATTGAAGTCACTAGTGGAGCCAGTGATTTTCAGAAAGGTAAAGGGGAATTCCATGTCAGATCACCCAAATTTTTCCATGATTTCTTGGTAGACCATCAGTAATCATTATACTGTAGAGTTAGTGTTTGGCCCAAAAGCATGAAATCTAAAGTATTTAATTTTCTGACCAAAGGTATATCCATGGTGAGGTCACAAAATTTTGACCTATTATAGCTTGTTAGGCTAATCTCTACCAGATTTTCTTTAAATAACTTCCTACCTATTTGTCCTAAAAGTTTCATTTAGGACTCATTTCAAAGGTCTCTTTTAGCTCTATCTTGTGCATCTCATTTCCAGCTCATATTCCTGTATACTTCTTTTACATGAAAAATCAAAGACTTTTGACACTTCATATAAAAAATATATTATGTTTAAACTTCACCAAATTTGTAAGATAACACACAAATAAAATGGAAATGCAGCTCAAAATTTCAGGAGGCTTTTTTGTACCAGTCTCAAGATATGTGCAAAAATGTGCTGGACATTCGGGCTTTTTTTACTTACTTACTTTAACCTTCATCGTCTGGATTTAAATCTCCCATGTAAGTGATGGCAGCCTGATTTTTTCTATGCAGCTTGTAAAAACTTGCTAGCTGAGATATGCAACTTTTCTAAAAATAAACTCTTGACAGTGAAGCCATGATTGATATAGTATCAGAACATTTTTCCAAAAAGTTGCAGTACAGTATTTGTACCTTGCACTCCTACCATGTAAAGGAGGATGTGGTCAAATAAGGAGGTAAACATTGAAAAAGGTGTTTATGTGATAAAAATTATTGGAGGAGTGGTGAATCAACTGGAGTCAAAGGCTGACCACTACCATGCAAATCTTCCCATTGTCATTTTCTTCAAATCAAGCAATAGATTTCCTTATATATGCGGATAAGTCACATAATGAGAGACCATTTTGTTTTTCAGAGGCAGCACAGAACTGTGGTTACAGAGATTCCAAGTAAGTAGTGACACTTAATGGATGCATATTGTTGCATCAAGGCTTCAGCATCTTGCCTTAAAAGGCATAAATATCACACACTATCTAGCCTATGCTTGCTTTCCATTGTTTACCTTTACATATGTGACCATGGCATCGTCTACAAAAATGCGCATCCACCTGGAAGGCATAGTAAAAAATACTATGGGTATTTCAACCTCTAAGTTANTAGTGAGATTTGGTTATTTTGCATATTGGTAAGTATAAGTGACAAAACATTCGGCATGTGTTTGAAAACAGTTCAAATGTGTTGCATATTGCTTTGTAACCCCTCCTGGAGCACCTGTAGCCAGGGCTGTTCTGAAAGAGGTGACATTTTGGCAACTTAATCTATTTCCATATCAAAGTTCCTTTAAGTCTTATATTTGGGCTGACCCAAAAAAATCATGAGACTTTGATTAACAAGATATCTATGCAATTTTAACTTTAAAGTTTGAAAAACAGGAAAATCAATAATTAACTATTGCTATGGTAAAATAACAAAAAAATTGATTTTTGCATTCAGGTTTAAATTCAAATCTTTTCATGCATCATTATTTGTTAGTGCAATGCATGGAACACATAAAAGAGCATGTAAGATTTTACATGTACACAGAACATAAACGTGGCACCAATCCTACCAACATTTACCAGAATCTATACTCTGCATAGGGACATAACACCCTGGGATTATCAGCCATGGTGGGTGCAACATCTAACAATTTAATTTAATTGTCATCTTCCTATCTAAAATTCTCCTTGGTGTGTTCTATGTGTTGCACTAAATGGATGCATATTGTTGCATCAAGGCTTCAGCATCTTGCCTTAAAAGGCATAAATATCACACTCTATCTAGCCTATGCTTGCTTTCCATTGTTTACCTTTACATATGTGACCATGGCATCGTCTACAAAAATGCGCATCCACCTGGAAGGCATAGTAAAAAATACTATGGGTATTTCAACCTCTAAGTTAAAATTCAATAAAATACAACAATCCCTTCCTAGGTTATAATTGAACAAAATTGGGTGATTTCTTTATAATGACCCCATATTTAAAAAAAAAAACAAGAATATTAGTTTTTTTTTAATAGTTTCTTTTTCCCTAATATCATTCTAAGATTTGTTTTCCATGCTTGGAATACAATACAGGCCTTCAGCTTCCTGCACATTATAATTCTATACCATCAAGATTATATAGCAGGCGAGAACACAAGTACAGATTACTTATTTCAAAAAAGGGAAAAAAGATTCGCAGACTTTGAAAATTGGAGTTTTGTCACAGGAAGATAGTGCAACATTCTAGCAAGTGAAAAAAAACAAATTGCACCAGAATAAATTTGATTCCATGAAGCTGATGTTGAAAAATGATGCATTTAGAAAAGCAAACTTCAAAAAACAAACTTCAAAGAAATTAAGCTTCAGAAAGCTTCAAAGCCTCCAAAACCTGATATGAAGGAATTCAGACATCAGACAAGCACAAATTTGATGCATTTTCAGGGACTCATGAAGATGTAATGTAGAATCAAATGAAAGGAAAGAAACAATAATTCATGAATTTTAGAAAGCTTTCAACTGAGCTTAAAATTTGTTGGATCTGCATAGTATTTTCCATGTCCATTCCTTTCTACAGAACAGGCCACAAAAGTGAGGGAGAAATCATTTGAAGGCAGAAATATTAAATATATCTGGACTAGATATGGACTCTCTGAACTGGAGCACTAAAGAACAAGAGTAAATAAAAGAAGATGCCAGTAATCCAAGCATATGGATAATTCATGAAAGACACACCTCCAAGTGGAAGAACAGCAATGTCCTCAATCTCCATTTCCACTGGTTGACCAGCAGTACCTGTGTCCACCACATCTGGTGGGATCTCCACCTGAACATTTGTCGCCATCTCCAGTGCATCAGCAGACAGAGGTTCACTAGCCAATTCCTTGATTTCAATTTCATCCTCCTCTTCACTAGTCAACTCCCTGGGGATGATAATAATCGTGAAGGCCTTCAAAATGCTAAAATCTACTTTTAAAAAGTATGAATTCACTTTCTGAAATGACTTACACTTCTTAAAATCTGGTGTACATCTTTCCTAATGCAACATCCATTTGAATATTGTGCGAGTCCACTAGTACAACATTTAAGATATCTGAGGCAAACCTTAACATCCCTCTATTCAAACTTAAATTCAGCCTGTGAAGGGGTTTCAGGGATGCCTTGCAAGGATGGTATGTTTGCAGGTAAACAATCACTCCTTAATAACTATAATAGAGTTTTAAGATAAGCATGCGAGTTCTGACTTAAGACATTTTGAGATCTCAAAATATGTCATAAATTATTTAAGAAGTTCCATAGCTTAATAATAAACAAATTAGAAATTCAATAACATAATTGATTAACACATGAACTGTCATACAGGATACTGGCAGGTTGTAGGCTCCATGATTGTCAACCAGCCAGCATCCTGTATGACATTTAATGTGTTAAAAATGATATCAGTTTGAAATAAAACAATTCAAACAAGAAGTATATATGTGAGGCTTTGGTACAAGAAATGACAAATAGGCAAGTGGATGTCTCATAATGAGTGCTAAAGTTCATGACATCCAAGATCAGAGCTTATTAAGAACTTGGCTTGGCACAAGAACAGCTTCAATACATCCTACCTCGTCAATGGGAGGTCTTACTCATTTCTGCACCATACTATCAGAAACCTAATCTGAATATCAAACAACAAGATGCACCAACAAAAGTGTCTGATAAGCAGCAAAGAAAATTAATGGCTGATGCAGTGGTACACCTCACTAGAAGTTCTGAGTCTGCATATATAGAAATAGAGAATAAACTGCTATACAGACATACAGAGTGTATAAAATAACTGGCACAGGAAAACATGGTTTAGTATTTGTATGATGCTGACATGACAGACTTTGAACTTGTCCTTAGTTTCATTTCTTGATGACAAATGAGTTTCTCAACAATTCTGATTTCTTGATAACTTACTCCTGTGGCGTGTCTTCAAGGATGAAATTTTGGGAGAGTAGGCATACCTCCTCCTTCTCCAATGAGGGATGAAGGACTGGTTGAAGTGTCTCCTCCTCTGACCTGAGGACACACACACACATATATACAAGGAGCTATCTAAAAGTTTCTGCCCTGAGGTAATATAAATGATCGGAGAAGGCTGAAATTTGGTTCCCATATTCCTTCATTCTATTTGATCATTTCAAGGGTCAGGAATTGGTTTTATGTGCATTTATATTTTTCATAATAATCTGTATATAAAAAATGTTCCATACACTTATGTATCTATTTCAATATGAAACTTTTTAGAAAGGAGCAATTTTTTTAAATTTTTATTATTAATTAAAGTATTTATCTTATGTAAATGTAAATAAACCCAATAATACAGATTATTCAGTAATGTGAATTTAAATCAAAACATCCTGTGAAGCAGCAATGAAGGTGCAACTGACAATGATGTCAATTCAGCGAAGCAGTTCAAGCATTTTTAGTTGACCATGGAAAATTTATTTTTTCATATAAAACTGAAATCCTGTTCCATCAATCAGACACATATTGATGGCCAGGGAGATTATGCTGTAAAATAAATTTGCTTCAACAGTCTATTGCATTCCCTTATATGCTGGGACAGAAACTTTTGATAACCACACATACATACTAACAACCAACCATACATCTGTCATTTCTGGAAGCTCCTTGTACTTGATATGAGCTATTACATCAACTGAAATAAAACCTAAATGCTTGCACATACCAAACAGGTTTTCTTCCTGACTGGGGATGCAAAGGCTGACGCTGCAAGGCTCCATCAGTGGACTTCATCATGTGAAGCTTTGGCCTTCAAGAAAGCATAAGTAATTTTATTTCCTGGGTTTTGGTTTGGCACAAAATCAAAACTTAAGAAATCTAAGTAAGAAATTCTTCCACACATAACAAGGGTGAATTTGAATCTGTAACACATGCAATGCATTTTGTACAAGAGACGGTCTCAGTCTCCCTCATCATACTAGATGTATTGACTCTTATTGGATACATATAATTTGGTGAAGAACTGAGCAAGATATAGGGCTCCAATGAAAAAGGAAAAAAAGAAAAATGCAGATCCCATATATGCAAGGGAATCAGATGTCAACATTAGAATCTTCCCATTAGGGAATATGGCTTTCTTGTTTAGGGAAGGGATCAGCCCAGGAATATCCCGTGATCCTTCTCTTCTTCCCTCACAGTTCCACAAGATACTCATGAGTATTGAATTGAGGCATGCATCAGCCTGATGCACTAATATGTATGCATCCCAATTAGCATATATCAATCAAACACTTGTTAAAACTGCCATATGAGATAAAAGGCTACAGTTTCAACAACATAGATGCTCTCCAGTCAGCTGTGATGTAGGCAAATTTGTCAGGAATGGGTTACAGTCAGTGTTCTAAGCTCTTTACAAATGAAGGAAAATGTGTTGCAACAAGAGGGTTGACTGAAAAAAAAGTATGCAGCTTGAAAATACCTTGTCTACAAGGTTCTTCAAGAGTTGTTAAAGTTTATGCACCCTTGCCAATCCACTCTTGAGTCATAACAGATTTAATTGAGTTGGTTGATGATGAGTGATGATAAACTGGTGTTACCAGCACTGTTGGCACCACCTTACAGTGGATGGCAACATAACTAAAACAAGCAAAGAAAAAATTCCAAGTTATGCAGTGTTCCAAGTCATTCCAAGTTATGCTACGAACACTGTTAATGAAAAATATATTGTTCACCTCTAGTTTTAATAGGATTTCAAGAGATTTAAAACAGATGCTATAAAATTTCCCTCCAATTCATGTGTCAACTCCTGAAAGTGGCTAGGATGCATGATATTCATCTTCTTTTGAAGCCTCCCTTGCCTCTCCCAGCTGTGGTGAGACAATGGACTTGTCTGCTAAACCAGATGAAACTGTTTACCATGCAGTTTCTTTCCTCAAGACTAGCTTGAGTGGTTGCTGAGATATGGTTGCTCAAAGAACACTGCATGTACACTAGTACAGTGAGGAGGGCCAGGTCCTACATGACAGATCAGTACACCTGTGGTAATTGGGGGCAGACACAAAGCTTGTTGTACATCTGTTGATGTGGATGGTTTAATTCAGTGACCACCAATGAAATTTAGACATGCCAAAGTTTCTATTGAGTATGCTTATTGTTCACCAGACATCCCATATATGTTCAAAATTTGGTTGGGGGGTCTACAAATGTTCTTGGTTTTGCTTTTGGATTAGGTGTTAAGAAAGATAAGAGACCATTCATATAATCACTTGATTGTGCATGTATATGGGAGTGCAAATGTTCATCTTTTAGAGCAGGCTTTCATCCACCTTAGCAAGGAGGATGAAAATTTCCTTTATAGCTTGCAAATGTGAGGCACTAGGGGTCTTAAAATTTAGCCAAACAAGTTTCTCTTACAATAAATTTACAATTTATAAACTCTCATGGAAGAGCATGAAAGAGAAGGTGGCAGTCTTTCCTGTGTGCCATCAACCAATCCTGCAAGCACAGTCTTATTGTATTTTACTCTATTGTCATCCCCTTCCTTGTACTGCTCATATCCAACAATATTTCATATGTACCGTGTACAATGACACACTCAAAGGAGAATTGTTATTAGACTGGGCTCATCAAGCTTACTGAGTAGATTTCCAAATGGACTCACCTGTCTAGAATGGGATTCAGGTCACTTGGAGATTGGTTCCTCCAAGTTACTTCTGGCTTGACACCAGGTTCTTTTCCTGGTTCCTCATCAGTCATCTCCATTTCTACATCCATATCTTGAGGGAGTTCAAAGTGAACATGGGGTTCTTCAGGCCCTATGAATAATCAAGTCAATCCTTGCCATACATCAAGCAAACAAAATCTAGTATCTGCATCAGTAGAAAGGTATCCAACCAGAATGTCTATCCCCTGAGATTGACCTGGAATCTTCTAAGTTGATGATTGCCTCTGTGATCTCGATTCTCCTTCTCTACACATATTGTGGAAAGGTGTTAGTAAATATGGGATATAACTGCCAGAGAATCAACTCTAATTTGAAAGTCATATGAGTAAGCCTGTCCATGCATGATGTGCATTCAGAAAGTTCTCTAACTTTTTTTTATGAATAAAAAAAACAATGACCTATTGCTCAAGAGTAACTCATACTTTGGAATAGTTTCAGTACAGTACTTGTTGCCACCCAAATTGCATCCTTAGATCCACTTTTGGAAAGCAGCAGAATCTTTTTTGGGTTATGCTCACATCATTTTGGGATATTGCTGAACCCACTTCAGCCTCACTGAAAACCATTTACCCATATGAATTTGTGAATAGACAGAAGTCTTTTGGGGCATATTGACATTTCACAAGCATCTACCAGTTCATTGTGAATGCCAACTGATTTCTTCTGTAAAGGCATCACAGCTTTTTGTTTCAGATACAATGTGAAAACAGCTCACGTACAGAAAAGAAAAACAAAGATTTCAGCATAAATGTTTTTTGCATATAAAACATTTTAAGATTAACATGAAAAAATATTAGGAATGTAACAAACACATCTAGCCACAATATGGCATAATTACTATTTCCCTCTGCCAAGGCAGACAGATGATAAAAAATTAATGATGAAAACTTTCTGGATGCACCTTGTAATAACAACTATGCAGTATGGTCAAAAAGTAGCAATCACTGCAGCATAGCCCCCTTGTCTTTCAAGAAGCATCACTGTAATGCTGCATACCTCAATAATTTTGCTTCTAAACTGTGTGAAGTTTCAGTGCTGTCTGCTTCGCTACAATTTTCTTTTTTTACAGCTATTAAATTACAGCTGCATGAATGAATTTTTACAAAAAGGCAAGGATTGTCCCCCTCAAAATTGCTGTACCAATCTATATATATATTTAACTGGATGGACACACCTTCTACCAACTTCTTCAAACTAATTAAGAGAGTAGGTCATCATCCCCTTCACAAATAAAGAACTTAATGACAGCTCTTTGTAACTCTTTAGAAAAATTGGCCAAATTTATATAGTAGATTTAACCAAATGCATTTTAAAAGGCAATAAAAAACTTAATATATTAGATGCAAGGTTGAAATTTCACAGTGTTGTAGAACATTGCTACTAACCTGTTTGCCTCTAAGTATTTTGAATAGGTAAGCACTGTCAATCCGTTTTTTTTTTTCATCCATTAGCATCAGGCCAACCTGAGATTACTCAGGTGTGGACATCGAAAGGTTAAAGAACACAGCATTACAGTCAAAAAAGGTCTAAAAAATAAAATTGAGCTTGATTGATTCTGAATCAATCAGGATAACTACTTGGACTACTCTAACACAGTCAGCTCAGTTTGTTTTTAAACTTGAAAAACGATAACTTAGCAACTTTATAAATCTATATATCAAATAGGTCTTCATCCATGGAGGAGTGAAATAGGTCTGCTAGGTTAGGCACCATATTTCATATTCCTGAGCCCAAATCCATAGAAAAATGAAAAAAATTGCATTACATTGTAGGAACTTAGCAGTTAGTGGGGGCATAGGTACCTTGAGGATTGGGGGATTGGCAGGGGGTTGTGGGGGAAGGGTAATGTCCTGTCTTGGGTTAAGAGGGAAGCCAATCATCTCAAAGATCCTTCCAATCCTCTGCTCATCTTCTTGCTCCTCCTCTTTTTCTCTCCCTAGTTCTGTCTTTTCCTTCACATGCTCCTCATCCACCTTCTCAATTTCAAGTTGATCACCATCTTCTTTGCCACTAAGATGCAACAAGAACAGGGATTTAAATTTAAGGCAAAGAATCAGGCACTTTATCAAAGATTTCTCCTGTGACACAAATCATATCACATTGTAATATACACTGAGAATTTCATCATTATAATGAAATAATCCTCAAAAAATTTTTCTCCCATATGTCTAGGGAGAGATGTTCACATAATTCAATCGTTCAGACCTTCAAACCTTGATGAAGCATTTCTATAAAAAATCTCCAAGGAAAAACTTTCAAGAACTTTTGCCCCAAAATTAGAACTTAGATTCATGAATGAATTTGTGCAGTGTCTATCATCTATAGTGTATCACCTATCTGAAATGAGGGATGAAAAGTGGAAGCGCTTGGATGCCTGTAGGGAATATTGGGAGTCTTCACTGGCCAATCTCTTCCTGGATTCTTGGAAGACTGAGTCCTCTCCCTCCTCTGCTTCCCTGCAGCACCACCATCTCATTCATCAATTTATTATAGGGGAAGAGAAGTTGAATTGAGAGATAGAAGGATGCAGACATAAACCTGAATCTTGGTCGTACGCCAAGCAGATGGAGGAGGGCTGCATGTCCTGATGAGATGGTACGCTTTTTCACCCCTTCACTCTTTTGCCCTCCTGCCAAATATTCCCCAAAATGTCAATCAATACATGAATCCAGGAAACATTAAGTAGAAGCAATGTCATGTTCCAAGTTATAAAGTCTATTTCCAGTAAAGTCCATGGTGAAGAAAAGAATTAGGTTGAGGCAACAATCCGTTTCTCCAAGTAAGAATATTCTATTCGCACAAAAATAAGCATGACCTAGAGCTTTCTTCATGGGCAGTTTTACTAAGGCTGACTCAATGGCAGTTTTGAGAACATTCATGCATCAACCTGAGTCATCAATAGTGCACCAGCAAAACACATCTTCAATGAAAGGTGAAAAAAGGGGAGAAGAAAGAAAGAAAAAAAAAAAACCGAAAGCTCGCTCAGAAAATGATGTCTAGCCCAGCAGAGTGCCTGGGCAGTCTATTCTGCTTCATGCTGCCATCTCATGCAGGAAGGAGTTGAATATTAGAAGCCAACACAAGCTGATGAGGGAATAGGAAAAGTCTGTTTCTCTGGAGTGGCTCTTATCTTGTCACTGGAGTCCTTACCTCTACTTTTTTTTTCTTGCTTGATCTCACTTTCCAGAGTCCCATCATTATTCTGCTTTATCATGCATCTGAAAATTTATATTCTGGGACTCTGCTTCTCATTGTGCAAATGCATTGTAATGCCTCATAAAATCACCAGGATAACATTGAAGCAAAATGAGAGACAAAAAGTTGAGTGCAGATTGTCTTCAACTAAATCTGGCACCTAGATATGATCTCTTAGCATTGCATAAGTCCACATGCATAAATTAGAAACTTGGGATAAACAAATATGATTTTCTATATTTTCTTTCATGCCAGTTTCAAAATTTCTTTGTGAGAAAATATTGAGAAAAATCCATGGGGATATGAGGATGACATAAGCTGACCAAAGAAGGGATGAGGCTGATCCAGAGGGAAGTTCTGTATGGATTTAGGGAACCACTTGGCCAACCTGTTGAGGGTTTCCTTCAACAAAGGATCAGTGACCTTGCTCTGCAGCTGAACTGCCTCCTCGCATCTACATGAAATTACATTATATCTGACACAACATGATGACAAATAATAAATCCAACACTGTAGCAAAAATATTTGCTTTGCCTTCCCATAAACTCAAAGAGAACACTGCCAAAATCTCTAGGGGGTGAAAGGTTTTCTGGATCACATACAATAACCTTCAAAATTTTTCCTTTAATCTTGATCTCTTCTGGTCAACCTTTCTTTTTTTACATTCATTTCATTTTCTATTCTATTAAGGTTGCATCTATTGTATTTTATTTCAGCAGAAATTCCCACAATTATAAAGTAAGACAATATCTCCTCTGAATCATTTCAATCTCAAATGTTGACTGACATTAGCAAAATTGATATTCAGCTAGCTTCATGCATGAAAGTTAATGCCAGAAAGTTACCTTTGCTGCACATTCTCTGAGAGTCAGTACTTCCATTCCTGAGAACCTCTTTGATAGATTAGCAAGAGTTTTTGAGCCACCATCAATTCCTAGTGGGACTGATAATGGAGTTTGAGTCTATCCATAAAATAAACTGGGAAAATCTGCCTGAGAGCTCTGCTGACCTGAGACTCTATCCAGTAGGCAGAAGTCAATAAAAAAAATACCACCAAATATTTAATTTAAAAAAGTTTGCACTGACTTTTTTTTTAAATAAAAAAAGTCTGCGTGGAAAGGTGTTTCAGACACATGACGAGGTCATTGAAGTGGTGAACACTGAACTTGGAAAGCTCACAAAAGAGGATTGTCAGGAGTGTCTTGAAAGATGGCTGCACTGCCTGAACAAGTGCATTGACATTGGCGGTGATTATGTAGAAAAATGCTGAATAAATGCATCTTCTGCTAAAAAATAAAAAAATCACCCTGTGTTCATTCCTTCTATTGAAAGGGTTGATATTATGCTGGACCACTCGTATATAAGAGTAAGGAAAATAAGTCAAGTTGTAGGTGCAGCCAGATGTTGAAAGTCACACTTGAAGGGTTAATTGCCACTTGCCTTCAAAAACAAAACAATTTTGGTGAAATTGTTTACTCTAGAATGTATAGAATTGGATTATTGGTATAAAAAAACAAACAAATTTTTTTTTTCTATAGCCTGTGACCCAATTTTGACCCATGAATCACAGATTCTTGACCCCTGCCTTTAGTGATATTCATGAGAAGCTTTCATGACCCTAACTGAAATTCTTGTGATATATCTACCTATGTTTGTCAACCAGCTGTTGCTGTCTTATGGTGAATAACCGGTCACTGAACTGTGGATATTTTTACTTTCAGGTGTCATTAGATGTGAGTATTAGATGAAAGTGTCACACTGAAAAAGCAGTGAAAGTATCCTTCAAATTTGGAGGTTTCACTTGAACCATTCCTTATAAAGAAATGTTTTTCTCAGTAATAGCAAACTTCTCTGAATGGCACAAAAATGCTTGGCAAGGAGAGGTTGGGTGGACCTTCAAATGCTCAGCAGCCAATTTTTTACATATTTTTATCCCTCTGCAGCCATGGAAGGCATTGCATGTAAAGACTCACATCATCTGCACAATCCTCTGCTTCAAAGTTTTCAACCTCTTAAGTTTTAAGCAAAAAAGTCATATTTAAAAAGGGGCACAATGAATCATCCTTATAACTATAGCTAAAATGATGTTTAGTTGCCAGAATACATCACATAAATGAGTATTCAAACAGCAGAGAAGTTCTTGGACATTAATACATTTCACCACAGTTATCTGAAAAAGTAGGACCCTTTAATTGGAAAATAATTGATGACTTGCTTCATGCCCAAGAAAATCACATCTGCTGGTGTTGCACCTTTCAGAATCTTGTGCTTCTAATTGTGCATTATCAGGTCAGAAAGACAATACAAAAGAAATTCTGATCTGCATTAGCAACTTTCAGAAAACATTTGGTGCACTATGAGTTATGATCCATTGTGCCCCAAATAGACCTATCATTGTGATCCATCATTCTCCAACACAAGCCATTAAAATGAAATCAGGATTACAATCAAAGTAAATTGCAATTGTAGCTCATATGCACAAGCATTGAACTATCAATCTCTCAAATCCAATCCCAGAAAGAATCATGACTTTTCATTTTAAAAAAATAACCAGCAAAAATTAAAATGTCACTCTGAATAAAGACAAAAAGGCATCTTCTACAGAACAACATCTACACAATCTTCACTTGGGTGGGAACTACTCTTTTTTTAACAACACTTTCCTGGCAACTCAGTTGGAAGCAGCAGAGGAACAGTGCTGGGAGAGGTCTAGACAGCCTGACCCATAGTACCCCATCCACTCCCACCAAAGTATTCAGTCAATTAGAATGCAAAAGCATACCTTAGTCACTTGAGGAAGAGTTGTACTGAACCAATCGTCAGTTGCCAGAGAGTAATTTTCAGGAAAGGAAAAATAATTGTATGAAATGAATATTAACTATCCATTTGGCATATGTAGTCAAGTATGTTTACCTGACATCTCAAGCACACAGCTTGGCAAAGAGAAAGTAACTTAAGAAGCCACAACTCCACTTTTTCCTCACTTAAAAAATTAAGGATTGTAGCTACTTCCCATTAGACCAAGACCTATAGCCCCACTGTCATTTCAACTGAACATGGCCTATTGTAAAACCAGGCTGTCATACATTTCTATGAGTATCCCATACCAAAGTAGTCCATATTCTACAGTGAAATACCAATACAATGGCCCTCAGATTAACAGGTTTTTCAGAATAATGTATTATTCACAAAGCCCCTCCAGATTTACCATACAATGCTAAAAGATTTCATAATGAATTTTGATTTAAAGTATATTTCATATTTTAACATTAGTATTTTGAAAACAGTGTGAGTGTAATGTTCACAAAATAATGTTGATTTTGCTTCATCTTCACAAGAATGGGGTTGTGTTCCAATCCCAACTGTTGTAAAATTCATGATGATGGAATATTAGCAGAATTTAAATTTGCATGCTCAATATTCAACGTAGAAACTTAGGAATCATTAAGAAAGCACATGATTAAGTCTAACTGTACACAAGTGATGAAAGAAATTAAATGTTTAACAAAAAGAAGGGAGAAAATGCAAGGAAAAACTATGGAAAAACAAAAAAAAATCCAGCAGGGCCTCACATTCACAACCTAGAGACCCAGCCCTAACCTGTCTAGACAAGAGAAGATTTGCAGCACCCCCTTTGAAATGACCTTCCTTATCCTTCTAGTGTTCCTTGTTAATCATTGTGTATTGTGCAATTAGGTTATTTCTTTGTAAATAAGATTTCAGTGAGTTTATAGGCTATTGCATTTGGTATATGTCATGTGAGAATTTGATATTTGGGAAAAATATATCTTGTAAATAACACTACAAGTGCTTAGTTCTTAATAAGAAACAATTTTCACTGAAAGACTAAATAGCAATAATGGGAGAAGCAGATTCAATCAAAAAGAAGGGTCATGTGGCAATGCAATTTGGAATAGTGATGTTGACTAAAGGAACAATAGTGATGGACCAAAAAAAAAGAAATTGTTGGAACAATCAATAATTTGTCCTGACAAAAAAGGACTGCATCTCAGGAATTTCAAGAAGTTGACGCAGTAGTGGCCACGTAATTTTCAAAGATGTGCATGCCCAAAACATGCTGATCACTGGCCTGATGCCACAACAGAAAGCTTGAGAATTTGTCAACCTTATATTTCAGGCTTAGAAGCCAGCCATGTGTGCCTGTTCAGATTCTGTGAACAAAACAGAATATCCTGGAAACAAAATTATTTGAAATGGCACTTTAGATTCATTCTTCAGTAATTTTCTTTTTCTTAATCCATTTTTCATTATTACAGTAATCCCTCACCAACTGCATGGGTTACGTCAGTGTAGGAAATATATATATTTTTTCCCACGAACCTGAGGTGACAAATAGGAATTTCCTGGGAAGGACATGCAAGTGGACTTAGCAGGCAGTTTGCCCGCGCATCTCTGTTCCCATGAACCTCATTCGCAAGTTCGCAAGGGTTTTCCTAGCCTGGGTTATGTACCTGAAAAACTCAGCAGTTGGCAAAGCTGCAGTTGGTAAAACTCATGGCTTATGGGAAATAGGGGGTTAGGGGAACCCACTTTCAAGAATACAGGGTGGGCACTAAGTAACTGAATATGTTTAAATTTGAATATAAACAAAACAGTTCAATGGATCTAGGAGCTATTTTTATTTCTTGGAAGTACATTTACAAGAAAAAAATACAGCAGAAAACTCAGTTCAGGTGCTCAATATGTCTGCCGTCTTGGTTGATAAAAAGGCCTTTTCAGCATATTGCAGCACACTTGGGAACATACAAAGGGTGGTCAAAAAAATGTATGAGACCAAGGCACTTCCAGTTGCAATACACCATTCTTACTCTTATCATGGGAAGACAGATGTCTTTGATGATGACTGGCGAAATTCCACCTTATTTGTCAATTAAGGATAGCTTTTATGAATTTAAAAAAATGTGCTACCAAAGGGTCTGCTGAAGGGGGGTATTAAAATTGAGACAAATGCTGTAAGGAATTTCCTAACCTCTAAGGAGCTGACCTAACAGCAGATCTTTCAGAGACTGAGAGGAAAGAGTCCTACTGACCCTCCTCTAAAAATGCCTCACAGCATTCGTCTCAATTAAAAAAAAACAATTGCAGCAAAAAATAATGAGTATGCACCTGAAACCATGGATGCTCAAAACCTCATACCGCAGTTTGTAAAACGGTATACATTTCAGATACTCGAAACTGCAGTTGGTGAGGGATTACTGTGCATATTTTCAGTTTAACATTGAAAATTTGTGTCTCCTGAAAAACATTATAATGGTATTTAACTGTATCCTGAAATCCTTAAATGGGCCTGAGTACCTTACAACTACTCAACAAATTAAGCCACCTCATGGTGGATAACAGGACTCACTGTCGTCGGATGAGGAAGAAGGAGGCAAGGTAGTTGGGGGAATTAGGATTGCTGGAAATCCTGAGGAAATTTTCAAGGAAATCCAGCTCAGGGATGGTCCAAGGCCAGGGTAGCAACTCCTGCATCCAACCTTGGTCCATGCAATCTACATGGCACAGCATCAAGCATTACAGATATTTTGCATATTTAAGCCCATATATTCTACAAACTATACAGCTAGTATGAGGGTCATGAATGAGAGAATAAATTAGTGGGAGATGGAGAAAAATTGAGGAAAAAAAAGATTCAACCATGAATATTCCAAGAACTCAATTGCAAAATTTGAAATTCATGGAAACTGCTAAGAACATATTTTTCCAAAAAAGTTATGAACAATGGAACATGAGGAATCTGCACAAGGAACTTGGCATAATATTTCATGAGGATGAGACAATACTAATTCAACATGGTCATGGAATATAAATGGGACATTGAATGTAAATTACCCTCAGAATCATTTTTATTTCTGCACCAACAAACATAAATTAGTACAACTGCCATCAGCAATCTTATGAATTTAGAATTTATGCAAGTCGATGATTAATCTTGATCAGTCACAAGTGGTCTCAATAAGCCCATCCCAAGAGCAACAATACTTTGATTGCAATGGTTGAACTTCAATTTGAATGAATGAATTTATAAGTTGGTCATAAAATACTCAAGCTTGCACCCAAAGTTGCCAGACAGAATTGTATTACTGGAAAGCACATCCCAGAGCAGCAGAAATGGGCCTTGGGTCTTCCTCATTGACCTCTCAAGCTTTTTCCTCCAAAATGGCCCTTTGATTCAGTTGATCAAAAGATGTGAAAAAAAGGAAACTGGGAGAAAAGTCACCTTGGAAGAAATGCCAGTAGAGTTGCTGATCATCCCAGCTCCGTAGGAATTCAACTGCCTTCCCAATGTCCTGTACTCCAGCCATGATATCCAGGACCATCTCCCGATCTGACCTTGCCTCAGGCATAACCTGAAATGCTCGGATGATCTCACACGTCAGCTTCAACTCCCCAGCTTTCTTCAATGCCAGGACACAAGCCCGAACTGCCCAGTCAACATTCCACTTTCCACAGCGAATTTCTGATGAACGTAGCAGCTCCACTCCTGCCTATTGTGATCACAGAAGATATTCCAGTTTAAGTATACATGATAAAAGAGTACTTCATATCGACAAAGTAGATGGAGTTTTCAATGAATACTTTTATTATTCATTGATGAATAAGGTAGGATTCACAATAAAAGCTCTTTTCTGTACTCAAGGTGCTCCACAAAACACAAGCATTCTTATGACCCATCACACATGGGTCATAACATTTGACATGCAATGATCCATGTGTAATTCATTAGTAAGTTATAAAATGAAAACTCTTGAAAAAAGCTTTTCAAAGGATATCTGGCAAGTGTATAGAAGTTGCAACATTAAAAAAATTGAGAAACCTTTCTAATAATCCAAAAAATACTTAAACTACCTGTTGAATTTTGTAGCACTCAATTAGCACTGGAAGTAGAATTTCAGGTTGAAATGTTACATGAATCCCCAAAAGGAGAAAAGTAGAATTGAAGCAGCAATTTAGCCATACTGGGTCAGCTTTGATGAGTGATCATTTTTTTGCCTTAAATTTTTAAAGCAAATCCATGACAAATGAGTAACATCTCCTGCTTCTGGGATGTTTGATATGGAATGACCCTTGTTCCATAATGACATCCAAGAATTTGGCAACAGAGTCTTACAGTATATAAATTTACTGTCTTTAGTTCATGATGACTATCATTAATGGTACATAATTTCCTGTTCAAAATATAAAGCAGTGTCCTTATGTATCAAGACCTGATGCATACAAGAATTTGAGCATTGAGCACAGAGTGGATCAGCATAAGAGCAGATTTCAAATGGAGGATTCCTTTCCTGCGATTGGGAAATGCATATGTAGCATCATGAAAAAGTCCAAATGCAAAAGATTTCTCACCTAATCCAAGACACGGTTAATGATTATGGTTTAAATGCATGTGTTTCATTGGGTACCCTATGAAGAGAAAAGGAGAAACTTCAGATGAGTTTTAGTTTATGATTGAATGAACCACATTTTTAAATCACTGAACACATTCTGCCACCAATAATTCACTCTACAGCACATTGAAGTTACATCTTAATCTGAAAAAAGTATAAAGAGTGAAAATAGGTGAAGTGCATGATGTAGTGGGATTGGCTGGGCAGCAAGAAGGGTAAAAATAAGCAGTATGACTCATACAGGGAAGCAGAAAACTTTGTGAAAATTTTCAAAGATGAATGAGTTGAGCTCACAGAGTACTCCTGGTGATCAATGAGCCAGAGTGCCTTGGTAAGGAACTGGAGAGACCGAGGGAGTGAGACCACAGAGGGGAAGCGTTCCAGGCGACTTCTCACTTCAACCAATCTGCAACAAAACCAACAAAACTGCTCCATCACAACCACAGTCTCATTATATGATGATTAATTTTGCATGGCTCACCATGAGGTGATGCTACTGCTAAAGATATGTCTACTCAGGGTTGTTCAAAAGACTAGTACAATTTATAATTTTCATTTCTCTCAAGCAAGTCCCACTGGATAAGTGAAACTTTGAACAAAAATGATAAACTCTGGAAGTTTCTGATTTAAAAGTTACCCTGTGATATCACATCCTTCATGGTTTTACTGGGTTGTTATGTCATGATGGCAGTTTTTCAAACATCAATGGATTGACCAGAACTATTGATAGTGCATTTGAAACTTATCTACTGCCACTTAACATCATGGAGGAAGGGGATTTGTTGGAGGATTCCATAGTCTCTCATTGCTATAGAAGGGGGGGGGGGGGGGAAGGGGGCCAGCCTACATCTCATCATGAGGTAGGTTACCTACTGTTGTCTACTATGCATCAAAATCAGGGGGTTTTTCTCTCCTCTTGTTTCTCACTGCTTTTGACTTGAGGAGGAACAGGCTGTCAAGTGAGAGTGAGGGCTGGGACCTTTGCAATGGCAGATAACGCCATTAATGTCTCCAACTATCAATAGTGCCATTGATACATCATGGCAGCTCAACTTTTACCCACATTCATCAAGGCATATTTTCTCACTGGAGATCTCCCATTTGCTGAAATTATCATGAAAAAATTATGTGGATTTCTGTATAACATTATAAATTAGCAAGGGAGAGAACTTTCACTGATATTGGCAGAAATTATCACCAGGGGTGTAGTGTTGCTATTTTTTTTTAACGAAAATGTAACATGTGGCAGACCATGGTTATTTGCTTCTCCCACTGATTGACCTTTAGAAGACAGTCCTTATTCCTCACTGATCTATAGAATGATATTCAAATGAGCACTGTTCACAAATGAAGCAAGAGATAAAGACAGAAGCCTAAGTAGGTCTGGATTCTATTACTTTCTAATGCTGTTTGGGTGATATTCACATCATTGTGGGAAATGGAAATATTATTCTGTTGTCACATAGCACTTACTCTTGCTGCCCAGTATTTTGGATGTTCATCTGAAGTTAATTGTATATTAATGAATAATATTTCCCCTGGAGCAACGTTTTCCAAATGAGATATCAAGACTATTTCTTTTTGCTCTTACACATTCCATGGCTTCCACACCACAGGAGCACAGTCAATCCAACACAAGTGCAATGTCTATGACATAAACTGACCTCTCAGGGAGTGAATCCATAATGTCCATGATGCCATACAAGAGTATGCAAAGAGTGGACTCATATGTATCACAAGGCACTAGGGTGATGGAGATCAATGACCTGAAGGAGGGAGGAGGGTATTTCCCTTCCCACAGCTGCTCCACCTCCCGCTCTGCTGGCTTCCCCATTGTCTGCATAGACATTGGAAATAGAACTTTTTTTTTGCAGCAAATCTTGCTATTAGAAAATCAGCTGGCACTGCATTGTTAGTACATATTCAATATATTACTTTTCTGTGATAGTTCATATAGCTTTTTAAAATATTTTTTCAAAAGGAGGTAAGAAGTAGGTAAGAGCATTAAGAAAAGGATATCCTATGAAGATACATGGGGACAAGCCAGGCAAAATGTGAGGCTTGGGCTTGGAATGTATAAGGATTCTATGTGGGTTAGGATACTGTGATGTAGCACATAGAATGCCAAGCAGAAAGTTGCTGCCTGGAAACTAGAAGATATGTACAATCTCCAACCTGTGCAGAGGGTATGAATTTCTGATGATCTTCATTTGAAATGTCTTGAATTCAATATTTCTTGCATCTGCCCAAACTGATTCACAAAATGGCAGGTGTCCTGAGTAACAAGGTTCAGTTAGGGATCAAACATTGAGCTATGAGTGCCACTTGCACAACTGAAAAAGATGCAAGTGGAACCTTTATCAAGAAAAAAAGGATTGCAGAGAAATTGAAGAGAGATGAAAGCAGGGTGAAATGGAACTCAAGCAAAACTCCAAGTGATAATGATACTCTGATGGCAGGCACTTGAAGCTGCCACAATTGAGTCAAGGCATCATCACAAGAAGTTACAGTTGCCAGAAAATTGCAACCCAAACCATGCTAAAGATATTGAAATGAGGAGGAGAACTCATCCAATCTCTGTTTCCAAGCATGCAGGATTAATTGTGGAGGATCGAGTGGAAGAAATCATAGACCAAGAAGGGGATATTTTGAATCCAAGTTAAAAATGAAAATTTTGATTGTGTTAAATACTTTGAAAGATGTTGATTTGTTTCAAAATTAGCTTATTCTGAAAGAATGAGGATCACTGAGTGCACACAGTAGTAATACAAAATTTCAATTTTGCATGAGATATTTGGAGATGATAATAAATATAGGGCAATTTTTACTTCTGACCAAAATCAGCTGGTTTTGTCGAGGTAGGGGGTAAAATATTCTGCACCACCATTTATGAGGAATTTTGCATGAAATAGGACTCTTTTGTGTTACAATTCCTGTCTCTTATTAATTTGACTTTAAAGGAGGTTGAGAGAAATTCAGACTATAAAAATAATAATGGGTAACCTCTGAGAAAAAAAAAAGGATATGTCAATGTACTGTACAGGGTGTCCCAGACAGACAGCCTCCCTGTCAGGCAAAGCACAGGATATGTAGACAAAAACAATCATATTTATGAAGAAAAATAAATTCAATTTTTAGTTAAACATATTAGCAGCAAGTGTGGCCACCACAAAAATCATAAAAGTACTTTAAGCAATCTAAGTAGAATGAAAGAACTTTTATGAAGAGTCCACACTGAAGCAACTGGGAGGCTTCTGTCAGAATTCCTCCAAGAGGCAAGAATGACAACATACACTTTTCCCTTGCTCCCCCCTGTGGCAATGATAATATTTGACTCTTGAGACAAAACTGTTCCTCCCTTACCAATCTCATAAACTTTTATGGAGCAATTGTAAGAATTTTTGTTACAGTTTCTCTTGACGAGGTCCTCAGAACACTTTATCTTGGTAGGAATCAGTGCCTAAGTGATAAAGTTGGCACCAGTATCACTAGCTTCACAAAATGTGATTGCTCTGATGCAACCAATAAAATTTACTTTTGAGCTGTCATAAGTAACCACCAGAAGAAAAGGATAACATATTTAGACTTGAAATTGAATGCAGTTTTCATAAATCTATTTGTTTTATGCTAACCTAGCCTGCATTTTGCCTGACATAAGGGATGAGACATCTCTCTGGATGAGATATTCCATACAGGATTCCCTTCAAGATATATTTCCTCCAGACTTGACACAGGAAAGAAAAGTTCAATGAGTCCATGACCCATGGAACAGCAAAGACAGGTAGGACATAAAGAAAATGAAATTTTAAGATATTCCTAATAATTTCCATGAAAAATGAAACCAATGCAGGAATGAGGAAATTCACATTGAATTCAAGAAACACCATAATGTTACTTCTACAAAGTTACAATGTTAGATGACCAAAACAGAGGTATGTTTTCTGAGTGAAGACTTAAAACTCACATGAACAAAGGCATCAATGAGGAGGGAATTGTGCTGCTTCTCCCGCAGAGACACATAAAGCTGCTGGAGATAAGGGAAAGGATAGGAGTGGATATGGTATCCAATCCTCTGGAACCAGGACAGGATCTTGAAGTTCCTGTGGAACAGCTCCACTGCCTCACGCTTTTCTCCCAACTCCTTCCAACCTGTTCATCAGTGCCATCAACCCATATACAGGCAATCAAATGGATGACCAAAACAAGCATCAAACGGGAATCTTCCTTTTAACTTCCACTATTGTACCACCAGTGAGAGAATATCACTCTCAAAAACAAGAATGCCCCAAGTGAATGTTCACTGAAGCTTTTTGCATGCTGCATACAGCTCATGCACTGCACTTTGGGCACCCTTGTTACAAAGTACCACTTTGAGCCTCTCCTTCAGATGCACATATATTATTATTTTTCCCCAATTTCCTCCCTATTTTTCCTTTGCTTTGGCTCAATCTAAATCATTCCAATCACTGAACATTGATTTGAACTAACTTTCTTGAGATGTGAAATCTGGTGCCTTGTTGATGATCATTTTCATCATGTGGGCAAGGTACTCCGCCATCATCTCAGTGTCACGAAGCTTTCGTGCAGCATTTCGTTCCAGATCCTTTGACATCCAGAATCTTTCCACTGCAACAAACATGCACATCTTTGCAGCTCACATACAGCTTCAGCTTTTTATTAATCATTTCCACCTATTACCCCCCATTGAGGAAGTGCTAATAAATATTGATTAAATATACAGCAAAAGAATATTATTAAAGCATGCATGAAGATGACTCTCCTTGGCATCACAAAAGAAAAAGAGAAACATACAAAGAGAATCCCGAAGGGCCCGGAGCTGCCCAAGGGTCATCCATGCCCAGTTGACCATTGTGGAGAGCATCCTTGTCCCTGCTCCATTCTCACTCCAGGAATGAAGGCATGATGCCCAAAACTCCCACCAGGAATGCTCCAGCGCAATGTTAAGCAAGTAATAGACCTTCTCCTCCTGCATTGAAGTAAAGCAAACTGACTAAGCAAATCAATGTTCTAACTGTTGCTCATTTATTCCAACAGGTTAATGTTAATAATATTTGAAAACTGATGGAATTAAGCTTAAAAATCATAAAATATTAAAGCCTACTTCAAGAGACAATGTATATTAGATAAGATACCTTTACTTTTCACCTCCCTCAGGTAAGTTTTAAATAAAACATTAAAGTTTGAGGTCATGATTTATTCTTAGCTGACCAAAACAACAAGAGTGAGGGAAATTATTAAAAATGAAGTTACTTAATTCAACTGAAAGAAAGCCAAAGCTTTACTGCATGAAAAGGAGAGAGCCTGACCTGTGTTTTCAATGATCCCTGTGAGAGAAGAATTGGTTTGATGCTGCCATACTCCAGAAGATAGATGAAGGGTGCAGGGTTCAGCAGGGCTGCCAACCCATGAGAGTAAACTTCTTTCAATATGGCTTGCTGGAGGCATTGGAATTCAACATGGAAACTGGACACATTGGTCAGGATTTCACAGCCTGTTTCATTAAAGAGAGTGACATGGTAAGATACAAAAAGGTCAAATAAAAATCTGTTTATACTGTTGTGACTAGCAAAAGGGTACTCCACCCCACTTTAGATGGTAGAGACATAATGTATATTTTTCCACAGTAGAGCAATCTGGGGTAAGTGGACTTGGCTTAGATAACAGAAAGATTGTGGAGGTACATTTTCAAGTCCAGAAAAAGGATGAATTTACACACTTCTTGTGTGTTCTTGCACACATCAGAACAGATAATGAGAAAAGTCCAATTTGCTTTCCCATTCTTCTGTCACATACAGAGCCAAATGACTTAGCTATAACTTTCAAAAGTCCAGCATGGATCAATGTTTCCATGGCTTGTGCCTGTTTGTATATCATACTTGAAAGGGACTCTGCAAAGCAACCTGGATACATATCTAATTGATTAAATACTGTGGGAAAGCCAACATAACAGAAGCCTTGTTTTATCATTTCAGGTGTTACCAACTCACAAAGACATAAAAGCATATCAGGCATTAATCCCTTCCCTGTCAGTGGTGTGATTTAATGCCATCCCTTTGCCCAACAGTTATGGGTTCATGGCATGTTTTACGCTGCAGAGTAGGCTTCTGTTTTGGAGGCTCCTATCATATTCTTGGACAATAATTTAGCAATACATCTATATATGTTCATTCTTCAACTAGTTGTTTTAACTGTTGGGAAAGGGACAGTGTTAAATCCTGTCACGAGCCACCACTGGTTAAATCACACCACAGGCTGGGAAAGGGTTAAGCTCCCATCTCCAAATGAATTATCATACAGTACTATCTCCTCTTCCATATCCTTAACCATCACTTGGCCAAAAAAGTCTAAGACATTGGAAATGATCAAAAGATGATTTCATAATGCTCACCCTTTGTTCAATCCTACTTTCATTCCTGCTCTGATTTCACAAGCAAGGAAGATACACTTAATTGTGCATCTTCAAATGCTGTAGGTTTTTCCTTGTTGAGCAAAATGTTTTCATGGAATGCAAAATGTATTGACCATGCATACTTGACTCCTGACTATGCATACAAAAAATACTAGTTTTGTTCAAAATTACAGTCTGGATACTGCATACATATTGTGCACTGTTTGGACAAGCCAATTTTTATTATAAGTGAAAGTAAGAATTTTGAGGACAAGTTCCCCCAACCCAAGTTGCATGCAAACAGCAAGGAAGTCAAGTTTTAAAAAGGTGAGATAGGTTACATGGGGTAATAAGGGTAGGATTGGATATAAATAACAATAAAAATGTATGAATTCAGAGAAAATTGAAATCTAGGATGAGCACATGCAATATGAGATGCCATAACTAGCTATTTATTAACACCCAATCTCAGGCTGAGTCAGGAAAAATTCCTCTTCGTGCATAGCTGGGGCCCACAACAACATCCAGTACTTTTTTTATTTCAATTCTGAATACACCAATGAGTGGTTCTGGATTTCCTCATTACTATAGCATTCCTTGTTGAAATCACCCCAATAGTTCAAGAGATCATAGAGCCATGGAAGCCAGGAAAAGTTGGGGCTTGGTCATGGGAGTGGTAGTATTGTATCACAGAGTTACACAAAATACATTGGTAATGATAAAAACTTAACTCAAGACACTCTTCTGTGACCTTTCTCTCTCTCTCTCCTCTCTTGCATTATGGGGAATCTACACTACAACATTCAGACCATGGTTTTGGGGGGATTTATCCTTCCCTATCCTTGCAAGAAAAAAAATTACTCCAAGATGACTTAGAAGTCATTCATAAGCAATGGTTCTTGAGATTCCTAAAAAGAAGCTGAATATTTTGACAATTTATCACTTTAGAATATATTATACCCATATTCTGGATTTAATTTGTTTTGGGTCAATTATCCATTCTGGTTTGATTTAGCTTGAGATTGGGTGTTAAAACCATTTATAACAAGTTGGGCAAGCCCAGTCCAATAGTGGGTCTCCTTTCAGTAAAGGAAACCCTCATTTTGTCACCTAATTGAATAAAATGCCATCTCTTTCCAGTCTTCAACAATCAAAAACCTCATTTCTCATTTATATTTGGTAAACATGGACAATGCCTATGAAATGATGATGAGAGGATGGAGGGCTGTGGGTGGTTGGATCCATCTGCCACGAAGGTTGGTAGGGAACTGACAGCTCTGGTTGCTGACATTGTGCCGTGCCCAAAGCCTGGGTCATACACACATGCACATTGTGGCCTAGAACTTGAAAGGCTCATGGGTACTCATGCCTTTCCCTCTATGACCAAATTTCAAATCCAAAATTTGCAATAAATATGCCAATTAAGGTGCAATTTCACCACAAAATTAACTCAGCCTATATCTTGTTCATGTCTACCTGCTTGCCAATTTTTGTACTGATAAGGTCAATATTTTTTTAGTTAGACAACCAAAGTGTGACACACAGACACATGGACAGACAGGATGGGATCATAAGTGGTCTCTTTCCTTTCAGGAAAGAAGGCCCACTAAAAAAGAAAGGGCAGTCACAATAAATTAGAACAGTGTCATACTGTATGAAAATGGACAACAAAAAAACAATCATCTTCAATCAAGGTTAATCATAATGCACAATCCTATTGTAGATGGAGGATTGCCACCCATCTGTCATTCATATTGAAACAATTGTGCATGATTATACAATTTTTTTAAATTGTCATAAAAATGGTGTAAGATGGGTAGGGCAGAGCCATATTAAATATTAATACATACTATTATGCAACAGCAATCAAGTAATCAGCACTTACTTTTAGTAGCTTCGTATTTTTACATTGTACAATGGATACAAGTAACAGCACTGATCCAATGCCAATAATACAATCAAGAATGAATTTTGGGTATAAATCCTCCCAAGCAACATTGCTCAAGAAATACACTTTCAAAACAAGACAATAAAAATTTAAAAAATCCTGTCCTGCAAACAAAGTTTCAAAATTCATTAAAATAAACTACTTAATGCAAATGCAAGTTAAAATTGAAGCTAAAGCCCTAAATGATAATAATCCAATCCTAGCAACCCAGTGCAGATCCTGATGATTTTTGGAGAGCCCTTACACTGATACACTTCATGGTTTCCTTCTTTTTCTTTTCATTTTCTATTGCTCTTATGATCAAGGACAATGCTTGTATCACTTTCTTATAGTGCACAAAGTGCTATAATTGAAAGGGAAATAAAGGATAGGATCCAGGATTTTTACAGACTGAGTAAATGTCCCAAACAATGGCATATCAACATAAAATAGACTGAGACTATGTCCAAGTAATTCATCTTCATTGGCCAGCTTAATTCATGTCATCAAAACTTCCTAAGATATGCTCTGCATTTCCTGCATTTCAAATTCTACTTTCTCCATGAAGGGAATAGGACTATGCATAGAATCTGATCATACTAATGACTTCAAGGATACTGAAATCAGAAGAAAGTGAAAGGACACAAGGCAGCAGCAAGTGGGTGAAAGAATAGTTCTTAATTTTTGCATGCACTTGCATGTAGCCAATTGGTCAAATTTCCAATAAATTATCCATAACCAAGAGCCTCTTGGCAATTAAGGCTACAAAGAGATGCAAAGGTCAAAATGGTTGAAATTCTATATATTTTACCCCATCTGACCCTATTACAAATGTGGTCTATTAATTAGACAAGTAACACTACCAAAGGCTCATCAATATGCCCAATGTGCAGGAAAGAATGTGGCATAGGGTTAAACCCCCTAGAGTATGGCACTCATGTGTTCCTCTCCCTCAAAGGGGAGAGGGGAAAGTAGGGAAACTCATACTGGGTTTTGAACCTTGGGTACAGGGTGGGCAAGATAGGAGACACTTCATAGTCTACTTTAAGAAAATTTGCTCAATGTGTCCTCCATGATTGTCCATCACACCTTGTAGATATGGATGTCTTTGCCAGTTAAGTCCAGTTTTTCATGAAAGCAATCCAGCAATGATATCAAAATTTCCAGGGGGAGGCCAACCATTGTGAACACATTGAGCAACATTTTTGTTGAATGAACTATGAAAATGCAGGCTTTAGGTCCATGATGATGAACTTGATCTCCATTTTGCTTATGCTCAACAACATCATTACAAAATCTAATTCTTCTTTTTTCTGAACTGTAGCACAGTTCACAGCTTAATCAACAGGCATCTTGCAAGCTGAACAATTTTTTGTGTGCTTTGAAAGTAATTGGTAGAGAGAAGCAACTTGTACGCTCCATTGGCAGTAGTCCTGACTTCTAAAAATATGCCAACTCATGTTTGTTTCCAAGAAGCATAGGTTGTAAAGAATTCCAGTCCCATATTGAACTTGAGAAGGCTCAACCATTATGGGGTCCACATGACCCACCACCCCAAGTTCCACTTTTATATAGAGCAAGTTCACACCCCAGCCTGGGCCAAATGGCCTGAATCTGCATTGCAATGAAAGAAGTTTACATCCAAGTCACCCATAGAAGATAAGAATTTCTTTAGGAGAGGTCCACTTATCAGGAACTGTCCTACTGAATGCAAATATACAACTTCTCTCTCTAGGAACTCTAAACTGCATTTTATTTTCAACTGACTGAATCATGGAAAGAAATGAGAATTTTTTACATTTTCAAGGTTAAGAGAAAGCACCCAAAGAAATTAAAAGGAAATGTTTACATCTGAAAGAGCATCAAGGGATATATGTTCATTACATTTTGTACAATTAACCCTTTCGTGCATGGTGTCCACTGAAGTGAATGGCAAAAATTTTGGCAATAATTATGAGTTTTCAGCTATGGTACTCATACCTTGAAACTTTTGGTGCGTGCAGTCAACTCAAGGGCACATAATCTGTTCAGTGTCTCTTTCTAGCAGTAGAACATTTGCCTACTGCGGCAGAGTACCTCCTTAAACGTTAAACCATAAAGGGCATATTTTTATTTTGCTTTAAAAATTCATGCACAAAAGGGTTAAGTGAAACAAGCAACTGCTGGATATTTCTTGCACTATAGCATGATTTGGAATCCATTCATATTCACTGGACTCACCCCATGTGAGAGCAGATGGAGCATAGGTGAGGTTGGCTGTGCTCCGCTGAACAGTTCCATATCGAGCTAGAACTGAGGTGAGAGAAACATCTATGAGCATCTCATCAGCAGACAGGACTCTGTCAAGGGAATGGATGGAGAAGAATGGGCAGAGTGCAGTGGGAGAGGAGAAGTCCATTGTGATAGGCATCTGGCTCTGGTACCACTGGTTGATATCAAACAGGCCCAATCGGTGATGCACCCGACGGCCACTCCACACTTCCCAAGCCATCAGGCAAAGACTTGAATCTATTTGCATCCTCAAGTCTGCAATTAAGGGCATCCATGACAAAAAAAAAGAGAGAATAGCTTAACTCTTCAGGAACTGACCAAAAATTCATAGTTTTTGGTCTAAAAATGAATTTTAAAAATATCAATAAAAATACCAATATAAAAAATATCATATGAATGTTGAGGGGGGCTGCAAACATGCTCAAAATTATAATTCATAATCCTTAACTTTCTTCCAAGGAATTGTTTAATGTGAGCCTAGTAAAACATCACAAGTTAAGCAATAGCTTGGCAAAAGAAATGCATGAAATCCTGAAAGTCCCTGCATTGATTTCAGGGCTGCTAAATGATTTACAACTTACCTATTGACTGGTTCAAAAACTAACTCCTAGAATGACATGAAATGAATTTCTTCTAAAATAGATCAACAATGGAACTGAGGAGCTGAAATCAGAGTGATACCATCCTTGCTTTCTTCTGAGTGGTTTTTCTGGTTTATCTCTGCCTTGTCAACTATGAAACTCATTAGGCACCTTCCCATTCTTCCATCAATGCATCAAAGTTGCAGTCATTTTAACATTTTTTTCATAAGCATTACAGCAGTACAGGGTGGGGGGTCCCAAAAAATCTCCACTACTTTCAATAGATTGTCACTTCCAAGTGCAATTAACATGTCATACCATGTCATAGCTTACCATGTTCCCTAGAAGTGTCAAGCTCAGACTGAGAGGAACTGGGGTCCCTCAAAGAACGAAGTGTAACAATGTGTGATGCTGAGATTGGTTCACCTGAGGCCAAGGGAATGCTTGATGATAGGTCCACCTCCAATCGGATATTGGACCGTTCAAATCCCTGCAGGCAAAAGAAGATAAACGAGTTGGCAGCAAAAAGAGTATGGCAAATCAACTAAGAATGGGATACAAGAACTTGAAAATAAAAAAAGAACTATCAACTAGAGAACAGGAATATGACAGTTTAAGATGGTGGTTTAAGATGGTTTAAGATGGAATGGAGGAAATAATGTCACATAAGTGGTAACCAAGGGGGATACATACCGAATAATGGAATTTCTGAAGCACAGGAGAGGGCTCTTTGTGAGAATAGGAGAGAGACAGGAGAGTGGCATAACCCCTAGCCCCTTCAGAGTCATTCTGCCCCACCCAGATGTAAACCATTTCTCGTGGATCATTTTCTGGCTCCATGAATGCAAGATGTCTTACTGGACACTCCTCTTTCAGTTCCATAGTGTGCCTGAAAACAAGAAACCCTGACTGACTCTTGTATGGGCTACTCTCTGCTACCATGGTTTTCATTTTGGGGAAAAATGACATCAACCAACACCCATCCAATATCTATCAGAGGGAGCAGGGCTCACTCATATCCAACATTGAACAGACTCTTTCCAGGTTCATCAGTTCCTTATTAAGTCTAAGAATGAAGAGTTCCAGGACAAAATTGTATGAAATGGCCACAAGATTAGAATAATAATAAAGAGAGTGCGGAAAAAGTCCCAAAGGAAACAGAGGAAATCAAAGGTAATGGCTCTTGAAACCTTTCTCAGGCTGACTCTGAAGAAGCAAGCTTCAAGAAACTGTTCAACCACTGCAAAATAGCTTCTCTTTTTATTTTTTCCTCATCCAACTACCTTTTTATCTAATGCTGCCCAATACTACAAAGTGTCTAATTCATGACATTTCTCACATGGAAGCAAGTTAGCAAACAGTTGGAATTGAGGACAAAGATGAATTTACATGAATTGATACTCAAAAATCAGGAACAGTATTGGGGATGAAAGAATTTTCTGAAACCAATTTCAAATTATTTTTTCAAGCTCAGCCATAAGGCAAAAAAATATTAACAAGTTTTTTTTTCAAGAGATGGTCTCATCTTAAAAATGAAAGCCCACTCACAGGCACTTGAGGGAGAAGAGATCATACAGCTGGACAATTCCAGATGTGAAACCAGCACAAAGGGTAGTAAGCTGATGTGCTACAGTGAGACATGTCACGGCCAATTCTCCAGCTGGTTCTTCCCTCAACTCCATAGCCTCCCCTCCAACACTATAGACATATGTCTTCCCTTTGACACTCCTACCTGATGAAGAAGGGGTTTCCAAGAAAATGAGAAACAAGACTCAGCAGTCAACTGAAAACCAAGTTTCTAGAATATTGATCACCGTTTATCAGCAGAGCTGGAAACATTCCTTCTTCAATTTTGGTCACACAGTCCTGTTCAAAATTGGCAGATTCTGGTTCCAGTAGTTCCACAAAGTTCAGATCACCTCCTGGAAATTCATCATCTAAAGCAAAAATGAAAAGCAATACAGATATTTTTTCTTCAAGATGGAATCAAGGATGGAAGTGAAATAATGGATAAGGAACATATAAATTAGAAGTACAGTGCTCACTCAGGCATGGATTCACCAGGTAGATATGACCACTGAGTGTCCCAATTGCAAGGATCACATCGGCTGAATCAAGGAACTTGTGTTTCCCTGCCAGCAATCCCTCAATCACAGTAATACTGTACACCTGAAGTATAGCATATAATAATACACGATTATTAAGTGAAAAACTCAAAATTCAAATGCCTAAACTGAAAAATTATAGACCCCATAGTTGGCTATAATGTGCCCTATTAGTATCACTTACTCAGGAAGAGACACCCAGAAATTCAGAAATTCATGTCTACAGGAAGGTAAAAATCCTTTGCATTCCCCTCTACTGAAGGAATGAAGCAAGTTGGGGGGAAAAACTGACTTTTTCAGAAAACATTCATTTCTGCACCTTGCTGTTTGAATTCAATGTCTTGTGTAGTTGCCAACAACCTGAAAAACAGTTCATAGTTGGGAGGGGTAAGTATGCAAAAGTCCATTAAATAATGCATAGTCATCAGCAAGACTGACAGTAAAGAGCATTATTTGCCAATGCTACTGTAATATCAGAAGATCAATCCCATTGCCTGGGTTCACATTTCAAGATTTTCAGCCTTCAAGCACAAGGCATCCACTAGTGTTTCAGTCTGGAGAGTTGGCCAGTCATTGATTGCTATTGGAAGAAATCCCAACAAAGCTCCCAAAGTACAATGCTGCATTTGCATATTTCATAGTTTCACTGCTCAATGGCTTTTGTGTATGGTCAAAAAAATGGGAAAGGGCAGGGGTGGTACTTGTTTTAAGGAGGTTATTGTTCTTCACCTTAATTCCCTTCTAAATGAATAATAGAGAAAACAAATTGGTGAGACTTGTGCATAATACAGTTCCATGTATTCAGTCACTGACCATCTAGACCTGAGCACAGGTTCTAACACATCTGTAGTCTGTCATCAAACATGAAATTAAAGACCTTATGATACCAGTTCAAACATGATTGGAATAATCACCAGACTTTGCAACTGCATTTGGAAAGAATGCCACACATTTTTTGAGACAACTCTTATTCCTTGTGACTTCCAGCTGATAGGACTAGGTTCAGGCTGATTGTAACCACAAATCATATTGAACTTTGACAGTAAGATATAGAAATGAATATATTTTCTGAAAATGAACTCAGTTTCTCCAACTCTCCATTTCTGCAGCAGAAGGGGGTTCTGAGGTTCCTTGACACCCTGCATGTATAGGTTATAGTATAGAGACACTTTATTGCGATGTGGTGTTTTTACTTTCCTGGAACCAATTCCTCCAACCACTTTACTTAACTCTTTCATGGGAAATTTTTCTGGAAAACTTGGCATATCTTCCTGGTTGTTTTTTTCTATTAAGTAAGTTACACAGAAATATGGGAACACTCCCTTGGTATATTTTGTGGGACAAGAGGAAAATCATGACCAATAACAAATTTCCACCAATATCAACTGATACCAGTGGGAAGCAGGTTTCCTAATGGATTAATAGGAATTTGTGCAATGGGAAATATGATTCCCAGGGTCCATAAAAGGGTTTAATCTAGAAACATGAATCATCACCATGCTCAAATAAGGGAGATATAACTCAGTGTCATCTGAAATCAAAAGAGACATATGTATACAGACTATGAAAACTTTTGCAAACAAGCAAATGAGATTCAGGGATACAGAAATGCCTCGTCCCTAGAAATATAATTGGAGGTAATGGGGAGGAAAAATATGGGAAAAATATTCAAGCAGAAAGTAGGGCAAGTCAATGTGCAGCAACTGGATAAGAGTAATAAATAGAATTTTGTCAAAACATGGTAGACAATTGAAATCTTAGGACCTTTATGTCAGAAAGCAGTATGATCCTTTCATTTCCTGAACACAAGAAGCTTGCTGTCCCATTTAGTGAAGGCTACTGAGAACAGGAATACAAGAATCCCATTTTCTTATTTTACATGTCATGAGGAGATCTACACTCCCCAATTCTCAGCTGTCATCTTGAATATGCTTTGTGAAGCACAATTGCATGCCTTTATCATACTAGTACCTAGAATACTCATTGTGCTTTATTGCATCAATGATAAAAATATCAAAGATTGAAACATTTTTTTAAAGGAGTGAATGACTCTAGGAAGAAGGCAAGGGAATTGGAATGAGACAAATCATATGTCCAAGAAGGTTGCTGCTGGCAATTAACACAATGGGTACATTTAGTTGTGACTTGGTCAACTGAATTGGTTGAGTCATGACTCAGGATCTGATCTGCTTGAACATATGACACAACCATCTAAGCACATGACAAAGTTATAGCACCATGAAATAATGAGGAATCTAAGTGTTGTGTTGATATGATGAAGACCCCATGGAATATACAGGGTACCTGGAAAAAAAGTACACCATTATATATTTATAAGTTTCTTGGCAACCAGAACTTACAGGATCAGAGATGCGGAAAATTCTGACAGGTTCTCCAATAGGAGTGTGATGGATAGCAATGCGGCCCTCGCTATTACTATCATTGATGCCAACAGCTATTAGATCCCCTGGCAACAAGCACATGCATGTGATAGACATGCCATGTGCAGCTGGTTGCTTCTTGAAATCACATGCCTTTGATGACACAGTTGCCCTCAATGGATGGGAGCTGACAACTTTCCCTCTCACCAGATACCCAACATCTCGTTCTGTAACAGTTCCAGTTCATGTTAATGCACATTTCAAGCAGCACAAGAGAAACACTTTCAATATGGAAACTCTCAATTTGGAATGGGTCATTAATCATTTTGTGCATAACTGCATAAAACCATGCATATACTACAAGGTGTCCCCAAAAGATGTTACAGTGCTTATCAATTGAATTCACCCCCTCCCCCTCTTACTATGGGCTCCTATGACTCGCCATGCTTTTCTATGACCCACCTGTGGATACTATGACTGCTAATACTAACTAATCAAAGTAGATGTCACCCACATCACTATGTCCTGCATTCTCAACAGTTGAGGATAGTGTATTCATCCATTCTGAATTTCCCATTATAATCTCACTTAACCCTTTCAGACCTGAATTAAGACTGCTATCAGAATAATATCCTTTTTTGCATTTTTGAGCTTTTTCTTGATTGAAATTGAAATTTTCATGCTTTATATATAGTTTTCATCTTTTGTATAAATTTATCATATCATACCATATATTATATATGAAACATTTAATTAAATAACTGAAGATTACAAAGCTAATGGGTGAAAGAAGCCTCTGATAGAACTGAGCCATGCATAATTGCACCCATTGTAGCACAATATGGAGCACAAAGTCATGAGAATCCAAAGAAATTGCCACAGACACAATGTAAATGCAATGTCCATTGAAATGGATGCCAGGTCTGAAAGGGTTAAACCTTCCTACAAAATAACTCATTAATTTATGAAAGACTCTTTTAGGGAGATGATGACATGCCCCTAACTTCTTTCTCTTGTTCATTTCGATCACATCAGTGATATCTATTGACCAATGAAGCACTTCACAATCATCATTAAGACTCAGGGGGGAAATTACAACTATGCTCTGGGTACTGTGTCCAATAAAAAGAATTTTTGACTTTCTCATCTACATTCTATCCTCTTCAAATTTCTTGCATATCTACATATTATTAATTGACACAGGCATAGATTGGATTATTGTCCATTTCTTTTCCTTTGTTGTAAAGTACATCAAACATAGACTGCCTGCCATTTGAGGTTTTCCTAGAGGGTAAAAGGAAAGAGAAGCTTCCATGAAAACCAAGGTTTTTTTTTTAATAAAGGGACAAGGATTCAGAAAGATAACAATTAAAATTTTGTATTACTCATCTTTGGATTTCCGGGATGTTGAGAGCTAGGAATTTTTTCCATGTGTGTCTTTTCATGGAAGATAAAATATTAGTCAAAATAAAAATGCATCCCACCGATATATGACTGATTTTGTGGTTGTGTTGATGTCAAGAGTAACTCATTTTTACTTCGGTGCTCTGACATTCCTCAAGGTTCACTTCACTTGAACTTTGTTTGAAGAATGTTGGTTCCTGCTTGTTCTGATTAGCTGTATTACATCAAGTTCACAAAGCTCCTTCAAGGTATCATTCTGATCTTTGGTGGTTGGGTAACTGGCTGGGATAGCAAATGGGGATAGTTTAATTGTTTATGGGATGAAAAACAGATGTCACTCTCTTCTCATAGTCAGCAGTGCCACCACCTACTGCAGGGGAGGGTGAATTCATTCAATAAGCACTGTACATTTTGAAAAACTTTACTTGAGAGATGCCTTTTGACCACCATGCTTTCAAACACATAGCATGTCATATCCTGTGATGCTACCAGGTTGGCAAGCACCATGTGGAGAATTCACACTCCTCTTAGGGTTAATGCCAATTTCAAGGCATGTTTGTGCTATAGAGAGTTTGTAATACATTAATCAATATTTTTTTAAATGTAACATCATTGTGAGGCACCTGGTACTTAAAACCTTATCAGACCTTCTATTACTTTATCATTGCATCTTTGGCTTTTTTAATATTCTCACATCATTGCAATCACTTCACCACATACCCATTTGTTTCTAGAGATTTATTGCCAGGTAATTCATTCCTATGCTTATATATCCAAGGTCAATCAGGCTCTTACCAGGGGAGATCTTTCCAAAAGCAACAGAAGATGAATCAAGATGGACATCAATATCAAGTATCTGTGCCCTCTTCACAACCAGAGAAGGCTCTTGTTCACGTCCAAAAGATGTACTCGGTAACAGATCCAAATGCTGCATCTCTTCAGCAATCAAAAGTTAGGCCCAGGCCTAAACTTAGTCAATGCTATTCCTTTTTACTTGTGAAGCTGAGGCCAATCTGAAACAAATTTTGGTAGGCCTAAGCCTAATGCTGAAACAGGAGAGGGGGGGGGAAGCAAAAAATGAATCAGAAGAGAGCAGAAAGGAGGAAAGATTTAATAACTGTTATGTGAACATCAGGTGTAGACCTAAAATTAATGCTACTCTGTGAGCGCAGCATTCAGTTGCACACAAGGAAATGAATTTGTGTTCAGTTTGGCAATGTGAATAATATCTATCAATATTGGCACCAAGAAGTTCTTGGTGCCTATATTGATAGGCTTGAAATACTTGTATTGGAGTATTTAAATGTCCTTATACTAAATATTTGCTGAATAGAATACCTGAAATACAGTATTAAAAATGCTCTATTTGTTTAAAAAAGCATTTTCAAATAATTGTTTTTCAATAACTGCCCAACACTTCCAAGAACAAGTACCAATACTAAAATATGTATAAGAAACAAAGTGCACAAATTTTCAACAAGCACCCACAAAGGACAAAATGTGAAGCAAAACCTGAATCATTCAAACATAAGATTAGGAAAAATGGAAGGTTACTTTCAAGGCTATAGTGGTTATAGGGATACCTATGCAATATAATCCCTATTGTTAACATAATTCATAACATATAATTCATATTTCTATTACTTCCAATTACTTGCCTCTGAACTAAGTGTAAGGCCTGGCAGTTCTAAGCTGATGACTCAAGCACCAATATTGAATCTCAGGGTCCTATCCCTGCCCCAACCTCTTTTTTCTTTGTTTACTTCAGTTTAGTTTTGAGCAGTATCTGAGAAAGATAGAGCAGAAACTTTCCATTTGTTTTCAAGAAACTAAAAACTAAGTGCTTTTTGAGGTAACAATATGTAGTGGAAAATCCTTTGTGATGAGTTTTAAAATCACATTCAGGATAAGGGTAGAAATGTTTCCTGGCATCCAGGTTTCTATAATGCATTTTATAGCCTTTTAGCACCATTATTGTGCCTTTAAGTTGGGCTTACTCTCAGAGAAAAGAACACACTAAGGATATAAATAACCATCCAGGGGGATCAGTGGCCTAAATTTGAGCTTACCATGCTACAGTAGAGTTCCAAGAGAGCATTAGTATCATGATAAACAGGAATAGTGTTTCAGTTATATAGCATGACTACACGAAGTACCCTAGCGTAGCAAGCCATACTGAGTTAGGTGGTGGGCCCTCAAGAAAACCGAGAGACAGGCCGAACGTCAGGCCATCTATGGCAATACCAGTGGCCGGCAACCCAGTACTTACGGTAAGCCCGCCCACTCATGGCTCTCACGGCTCCACACGTTTAATGCTTTCCGCCATGATGAAGTGACGACAAGCCATCAATGATGCCCTGCTAGGCAGTGAGAAACAACTTCACACAACTTACCAAATGCAACATATTTTAATTTTTTAAATTCTACGTTTAATTACTCGGAATCAGCGAAACTTCCCATCACGTATGCTCTGAACTTTCACTCAGATGGACTCAGGGCTCGGTCCTGGGGCCGTTCTATTTTTGGCCTACATCAGTGGTCCCTAAACTTTTTGAAGCGAGGGCCTCACAGACACTTAACTCCACCTTGAGTGGGCCGCACTAAAAACGTTAGTCGACCTGGATGGGCCGCACTGAAAAAGATCCAACGTATCTGTTTGGTTAACCCTTTATCTGGTCATCGACCTCTTGGTAAAGTTACTTTGAACCAAGAAGTCCCATTTAAAAAATGGGGAGCTATCAAAAACTGCCTATTCCTGCTGCATCCACACGCACTTTCAACTCTCGTAGTCACGGAAACTGCCACTACGTGGAGTCAAGGCTCATGTAAACGCATCGTTTCTAGATGCTGCCTTGTTACAAGTTGTATCTTCGATAAATACTCCTTCCCCCCCTCCCTAAACTTCACCATTTACTTGCGAGGTAAGACACTTTTCTCTGCAGTATATGGATGCTCGAATTTTAGGCAAGTTCAGCAGGTGCCCACCCAAATACATGATAAGTACCTGGATATCTTAACAATGTCTAAACTTGCTAGTTCACAGCAAAGGATTCCAAATCTGGAAATTAAGAAAATGTTAATCGCAATTATTCATGAGTTCCGACAAAACGGCAAAAATGACAAAACGACAAAAATGTGAAAAAGTCCGTTATTAGTTAATCTTAGTGGGCCGCACTTCGAATACCGCTGGTCTACATGAACGATTTAGATCTAGGCGTAGAGGGTAAGATTAGTAAATTTGTCGACGATGCCGTCGACGTGCCATTGCGGTATGCCAACGACACCAAAACAGGTTTTTCTGTAAGGGGGGAGATGGATAGGGCCAGAGCCGAGCGAGATTTGAGGCTTTTGGATGAGTGGAGCAAGAAATGGCTCACGAGGTTTAATAAAAGTAAATGTAAAGTTCTCCATGTCGATCAAAATAACGGTAGGTCTCTCAACGCGTTTGGCTTAGATAAACTGGGGGAGGCAAACGGAGAGAGAGATTTAGGGCCGATTGCATGAACGATGTTTATTTTAGACGTTGATTATCGATAGTCATTGTTTAAACACTGTCTACGAAAACATCGGTTAACCGATGTCTACTTTCGATTGCGTGAACGATCCCCAAGCCATGTTTTCATAGCCAATGGTTAGACGATGGCTAACCGTTCTTCATGTATATAAAGCATGTTCTAACCTCTCGGCTTCTGTGGCACTTCGGACTTCGAAAAAAAAATGAACGAAAGAGTGAAAAAGGAAAACTATTCCTCTAGTGATGAAGTTCATCTTGCGGAGATTGTCAAGGAACATCCAGAGGTAGAGAGCAGGAGATACGATGCAGACTCCTTGCATAAGAAGAACCATGCCTGGAAAATGGTAAGTTCTCTCTGATCCTGCTCTGTATTTCAATGTATTATATCAGGGGTATTCTTGGAGATTTGCATACACAGACAAGTTAGAAGTCTGCAAAGTGGGTCTATAAGTGAGTGCATAACGAGATGGGAAAACCTGGGATACATACTATACTTACTCTTAGGAAACTATGGGCGATCGCCTATAAAAGGCTATTTGGCATTTCAAATCTCAGTATCAGGCTTTTTTCATTTATGATTTCAGATACATGAAGCTTACAACTCCTCGTGCCCCAGTGGAAACACCCAATCCCTTGACCAATTGAAGGGGCTGTGGAACAGATTGAAGGTCAAAACTACTCAAGATCGCGATCAGCAGGGCAAAGAGGCGAAGACGGGCGGAGGAGAGTAGCCACCTGAAATGGATGAGTTGAGCTATTACATCAACGAAGTTGTGCTCCCTCCTCATGCCAAAAGTCCGCTTCACAATCCGTTTGATTCGGACAGCGAAGGCAAGCCTCTGGAAGTTCGAACAGGTTAGTGCACCGTCTATCAGGGTTTTTCCTAAGATTCTCTGCGCTCCCACGCAATATGTTGATTATGGGTATTTCCTCCATTTCAAATTCCTGGTTTTTTTAATATGTAAATGACTCCCCATGAACACCCTTAGCTCTAAAAGAAATTAAGAGCTATTCAAGAGTTATAGCACTTATATTAAAGCCAATTCCTTCACTTGGTTATTCCCAGATTCGTTTCGAATGGGCATTTTAGTTACACCAATGTCAACTAGGGCTTTGAAAATTCTTGCCACTACTTCTTCAGAGAGGTTAGCGCAGACATCAAGAGAAAATCTTGATCCAGAACAAAGTCTGCCAAAGGCAAAAAAGAGAAAAGCGGATTTCGATGATCATCTGCTGGAAATGGCCCAAAAGGAACATGACATCAAGATGCGAATCCACCAAATGAAAGAATGGAAATTAAAGCACGAGTGTGAACAGATGGGGATTGGGTTACCTCCACAGTTGACGGAAAGTGTTACGTCTTTTGACCTCGGCTAAGTGCTGTAGAATAAAAGAACTTGGTTTGGGCTCGTGTCTAATCTTTATTAGTATTGACACAGATCTTTGTCGTCTGAGTTATGTAAAATAATTATCAATGATATGCTCCCTCTTTGCTCTACCTGCACCTGTCCCAGCAGCAAGTCTTCCCTCTGGAATACTTTCCATGTTCTCACCATCATCAAGATTATCTGCATTCATGCCATTTCCATCATCTTCAAAGACAGGATCATTGAATTCAATGCTCAGATTGTGGAGGACAGCACAAGCAATAATGTGTACTAAAGTGTTATCCAGGCGACATCTCAGGGCATTGTGCAAGGAAACCTCCTCTTCATGCGACCGAAAGTTCGTTCAATGATTCCGCGTGTTCTCTTGTGGGCCCGATTGTATCGCTCTTCAGCAATGCTGTGAGCAACTAACAGTGGTGTCATCATATGAGTTTCACAGGAATAACCACTGTCTCCAATCAAATGTCCAGAAAAATTCCCTCCGACGAGTCGATTGCATATTTCACTGTTGGCAAATATCCGTGAATCGTGAGTGGATCCTGGCCACCTAGCAACAATGTCAGTAAACATCCCTCTTGCATCACACACTTATGTCCAGAAAAATTCCCTCCGACGAGTCGATTGCATATTTCACTGTTGGCAAATATCCGTGAATCGTGAGTGGATCCTGGCCACCTAGCAACAATGTCAGTAAACATCCCTCTTGCATCACACACTGCTTGAACATTAATGGAATAGAAGCCTTTGCGGTTGATGAAAGTTCCCGCCTGGTTGATATCAGGGCATTCTATACGAATATGACATCCGTCGATGGCGCCGATCACTCCAGGAAAGCCAGCAACAGCAAAGAATTGTTTTTGGACTTCTAGTTGATTTCTCTCTTCTGGGAATTTAATGACTTGGGGACGCAAATGCGTAATGGCCTGTGAAACACGGTTTATGACTCTACAAGCAGTAGAAGCGTCGACTCCAGAAAGATCTCCCAGGACTCTTTGAAATGATGACGTCGCATAAAATCGAAGGGTCAGCAGAACCTGAGAATTGAATAGCTTTCATAACATTATTTTTACTTAGGGACTCAGTTACGCTTCTGCATGACTAGGGATAAGAGAAAATGACTTTTACTAAGTCTACTAGGAATGAGGTAAATACTCTCGAGAGAAAGTCATGGAACAAGTTCGTGCAGAGACCGTGACCCATTACACCTGAATTGTAATTGCCTTTACTGACCTGTTGATGCAAAGTCAAGGGATCCCTTCCACGACTTTCTTTACTTTGAAGTTCAGGGCGGAGCATTTCGACTAGATGATCCACTGGTGCCTTTCCAAATCTGTATCTCACGCGGAAGTTTTCATCCTCGTATTCTTCAAAGAAATCAGGCCTTGAATTGATGTTTTTTTTTGTCCCATGCGAAGACGAGCACATCGCAGATATTGAGCGACTCCATAAAGGTAATCCATTGTGTTTCACTAATACAGTGGAGTACTATGCTGATGGAGATAATGCACGAGCACTGACATAAATATCGGCAAAACATGCCCCATCCCTTATCTAGAAATGACACCTTTTCGGCTTCTGTTAACCGATGGCTAGACAATGGTTAAAGGAAGATAGCGTTCATGCAATCCATTTTTCGCCTTAGACATCGGTTAACCGATGACTTTCGAAAAACACCGGGAAAACATCGTTCATGCAATCGGCCCTTAGGAGTTTCTATCGATGAAGACGTCAAGTTTTCCTCGCACGCACAAGCGACGGTGGCTTTATGGGCGTGTCTTTTTCTCCAGCCGCTAGCAGCTGTTAACGTAAAAGACGCGTTGGCTAGGCACGATCACGTCATTGAATGACGTCACTCTTGGGCAAGCAGCTGGCAGCGTAACATAGCGAACTATGAGAGCGCTGAGCAGCTCAGCCCTAACATGACGTCATGGGATGCTGGTGGCCTCAGCAGAGCTAGCAGAGTCGCCAGGAAAAACGACACGCCCCATGTAACAGGATTCTAGTATTCATCCGTCGTTCAGTTGCCAGTTGGAACTCGTGCGTTATTCTTCAGTTGTATGCGGCGTTGGTAAGACCCCAGTTAAAATATTGCATCCAGTTTTGGAGGCCTACAAATAAGAGTGAATTGATGGCACTCGAGGGGGTGCAGAGGAGGGCCACAAGAATGATAAAGGAGGTTAAGGGACTTCCGTACGAGAAGCGTTTAGAAGTGTTGAGACTGTACTCGCTCGAGAGTAGGTTTAGGAGAGGCGATCTCATTCAGGCTTTCAAGATCATAAAAGGAATAGATAATGTAGAGCGTGGTAGGTTCTTCCAGTTCGATAGCAGTAAGAGAACGAGAGGTAATCAACTCAAGTTGCATAAACCGCAGATGCGACTCAGGTCGAGACAGGACTTCTTTATTTGCAGGGTGGTGATCGCGTGAAAATCGTTGCATCATTGCTTCGTAACTGGTGTGCCGTGACAAAGTCCCTGATGTGCCGCGGTATTTTTGGAATTAGGGGAAAAGAAAGAACATAACTGTGCTTTATTATTCTCAAGCTACGACCGACGAACGTCGGTCGAATTGACTAGTGCGTGATGAAAATATTATTCACATTGACAATGTAAAATTTTGTTTGGTATGCCGCGTGGATCGAACAAACTCGAAAGTGTCCTGTGAAGTAAAAAAGGTTGAGAAACGCTGCGTTAGATGACGACATAGTGGCTGCCCCTTCTGTTAATATTTTAAAGAAGAGATGCTTTTATGGACAAAGCAAAAAGAAGAGCAATGTAGACGAAAGGGACTAGACAGTAAGCGACTAGGATACCCTCGACCCATCCTCGACACCTGGTATCCAAATGGGCGGCGTTATTGCCTCCTGATATATACCACTTTCCAACCTTGAACCTTGAATTATATCATGCTTTTTAAATTATTTTATTCACGTGTCTCCAGTGAATACAACATTCCTCCGATCTCTCCCCAACTAGGGCAAAGGAACAGGGAATTTGCGTTTCAGTTGCAAAATATTGCAATATATTTGCAATGATGTGCAATCCAAAGAGCGCCACGCTTGACTGTAATAGGTTCCAGTTAATCCGCTAATGCGATGATCGGGTTCTACAGTGCCTCCTCGATGAGTTCACACACCCTTTGAATTGCAAACCATTGTTTTCTATGGGCCTAGCGACAGCGACGGAACTAGCGTTTCCCCTTTGCCATACGTACGACGCAAGCAGGAATCCAGTAGATGTTCGTAGATACGAACCCGTTGCGCCAGTGCCCTTATGGTAGGGTGACCAGATTTTTTTGCAGGAAAAACCGGGACATAAACTTTTTTTTCCTTCTAAATGTTAGTCCTTGCAGTGTGGAAAAACCAGGACACGATGAAATAAAAAAATTTACTTCTGGCTTGTACTGGTAAAACCGAGACAGTCCTACCTTATGGGGGAGTGTGAACTCATCGCGAAAGCACTATACTCTTCTTCGTGTCATGATATGATCGAATGAAAACCTGGAGGCCCAAGCGTGCGTACCCTATCTTATTCCTCCCAAATTGTATCCCTCTTCCTCTCCACTATCTGATTCGGTTTTGGAAGCAAATATTTGCGGCTGAAATTTGAACTGATGTTTCCTGTGCTTGTCGGTAGGTGGCAAATGCTTCTTTTTTGATCGATTGACTTATTCGAAAATGGAGTTCAAGAGGGAAGAGAAGTAAAATGTATAAGAGCCAAGAATTAGGTGGTGAGGTCGTCAAGATCGGGTCTTCTACGTTTCGGAAGGGATTGCACCGTTTCGTCCAACTCGGTGATGGCTAATGGGAAAGTCCACGTCACGGCGTTCATCTTCTGAGAGTGTGGACTATCCACTGTACAGTTCAGGATTCACATCTGCAGGTTTATGATCATTCAGGGATCTGAGGCATGAAGTTGCAAAAAATCCCCGGAAGTTCGGCTCATATTTCATTGACAATTTCAGAGGCTGCGTTTAGTTACTGCGATACTTGAGTGAGAATCTGACGAGCACGTACGTCCAAGATGTTGGGAAGTCATCTGCCTCCGTTACTCAAACAAGTTTCCTAGTAATGAGGTGAGATAGCGCCTAAAGAGCTGACAGAGAATCTGTCTTTGATACGACTGAAATAAGTCCCCAACATTTTTCGTGCGGTCCCTGATCTTTTTCCAAGTTAACACGGGAAAGACACTGGAATTCCTCGATGTAATAGCATAAATAAGTAAGCCAGCCCGAGGAGACACCTTGCAAAGGATCTCATCAGACACTTGAACAGTGAAAGAACCAGATGTGCGAAAAGCCCCGCAGCCTTGAAGTATATACAGGGTAGCTAAAAACAAAAAAAAGC